GTGATAACTTTGATTAACTTCGGATAATAATAATTAACGTGTATATAATACTGTTGCCCCACCGGTATTGGGGGTGTAAGCTAGCGGGAGAGACAGAGCTCTCAGCAACGGGCAGGGGGAGGGTCGTCTCCGTGCCAACGGCTCCGCCCACAACGCAGAGGCGAATTGCTAATGAGCTACTGCCGCTCTGCTGAAGCGAAGTCCCAGAAAACGGCACAGGTTTTGTGATTTTGGCTAAAAAGGGCATAATCATAATTTAAAGACCACTGGGAATGTTTAAAAATAGCTCAAAATATGATCGGAGTGGGACTTTAAGGCATCCGTTACATTGTTGGTTGCTTAAAATCTTGTGTTCTCCACCTCGTTCCACAACAAAGGTTGCTTGTGTCTCGTCTTCAAACTAAGGGTGACATGTGTCCTTCAATTGCTTATTTGTACATTCTTCTTTCCTTTCTTTGCTGGAGGACGAAGGAGCAAGGAAGCATCAATTTGGATACTGAGAAGCACCCAACGAAAACTGTCTAAATGCAAGCAGCAGGCCTTATCCTTGCCAGTAAAAAGTGATCAAACGTGCTTCCATTGCAAATAACATGAGTGCTGGAAATGTCTCACTCCAAAAGAAATGCCTGTTAACCCAAACCATTAGGTCGATTAAAGAGGTAATGACATGAAAACCAAACAAATAGTAAAATGTCAATCAATTAATGAATTGTTTGCTCTTGTTATGTCATTGGAGAATGTCTAAAATGCATTCAACATGCAACTACAAGTTATTTACTAGTTTTTCAACTGGCTTTTTGAATATTTTAATTTAAAATAAATGAAAGATGTTGACACACAAACTTTTTGCAGGTTAGAATTTACTGACTTCCTGATTTCTCCACCCATAAGTTATTTTTCAAAAGTGTTGTGCCTTCACATGCAAGCTCATAGTAAACCTGAAATTAGAGGCCACAATTGCTCAATATAAAAAGTATGCAATATAAGTTCATGTTACAAGAGCTCTCCAACATATGAGAGAAAAAGTACATTTTTAGCTTGGTTGCCATGCAAAATGAAATTAGAAACGTCCATCTATCCTCCAATATTTAACTTTTTTTTTCTTTTTTACTATGACATTTGTTTATTTAGATTCAAAAAGGAACAGTGTACATTAATAAACATTCATGAATGTAAATGTACCCCAATTAGCCCAAAAGGCTAGTTTTCATTGGTAGTCCCTTTGCCAGATGTTATCAGGCATACAAACTAGAGAAACGACGAAAAAAAGAGAGAAAAACAAAAGATCTTGGACTTAGAATATTATATGAAGCCTTTTATCTGTAAATGCATCATGAGAACTGGAAGCAAGTTTCTGCTTTACTGTATTTAATGCCTTTATTGATTACTAAATCAATTGAAGCTCATGAAAACATTTAGATGATGAGTTAGGCAGAGATGGGGACTCGAGTTTGAGACTCGGACTCGAGTGCGACTTAAGTCGCACACACAGTGACTTCAGATTTGACTCGAGACTCGTCCTCGAAAGACTTCAGACTCGACTCTGACTCGAGCTGGGGGACTCGTGAACAATGTTTATTTTTAGGAAACGTCTGATGAGCTCGCTGTTATTCCCCTCCCTTTGTTACCTATAACCTGCCTACGTAACACGTACTACGTATCGGCTGAGCGCGACCACACATAAGAGGACAACAAACAAACATGTCACCTGCACCGGTCGCTGCTGTGCCATTCATTGTAAGCTTTGGGTTTAAAAACTTCAAACAAGACGGGCCAAATAAAAGAAGTGCCCAATGCTAAATATGCGGTATCAGGATAAAAGATTCTGGCTCAACCACATCTAATTTCATCAGGCATCTGAAAACACACCCTGAGGTCAGTAAACATGTCTAGCTCAGCATTGACCATCTACCGTTAGCTTGCTTCTTGCTTTAGCTACAATCTAACGTTACGGGAGGTTAACTCCGACTGTCTTCCTTATGAAATATTAATGAGCATTTGTTTATTTGCCAAACTTGTGGTGGTCGATTAACGTAATAATTTACGTGCCGCTGGCTTCCATTACGTTAATTATTAACGTTGTCTGCAAACAGGTTACAGGATTATTGTTGTTTCATTTAGTTATAACGTTACACTGGTTTGAGAGTCTGGGATGTGTTGCTGACCAGGGTTTCCGTTGTCCGGTAATTACCGGACATTGGCCGGGAAAAAAATGAAATGTCCGACAAAATTAAATCTCTCCGGTCAAATTGTCCGATTAAAATTGCGTAATAATCCCGCCCCCCTAACACAATATGAATTTGAGAATAAGCCTAAAATGTATAAAGAAAAAATACACCGACCTTTGGCTATGTTATAAAGGAACAGGCTCTACCGTTTGGAAGTTATTAAACAACATGGCATGCTGCATTTCAAATAAAGCGCACGCCTAGAACGGCTGTAATAGCCTATAGACCTAAACAACGAACGATTGAGTGAGACGTTTCAAATATGGCCAGGTCCATTGATATTATTGATAAAGTTGATAAATTGATAAAGTTGACGATGCAGACTCGCCATCTTCGCAGTAGGCTAGTGAACGCGCCTATAGAGAGAAGTGTGCTCGCGCCGACGCCTCCGTGTCCTGATTAGCCTATATTGTCCACTATATTTGCTTCTTATTTAATAATCCAGGCAAATTTGTTGATGAAACATTGATTAAAATTAATACACAATTTATACAAAACGAAATTTTCAAGCAAAAATAATATTCGAAGATCGTTGGGTTGATTATTATTCGAAAATCGCACCCCTCCACCACATGCACGCACACATGCATTAGACTACACACCGGAGCATGTGAGCAAAGCGGAGCGGTGTGACGCTTATTATAAGTTAAAAAACTTAAATATAGGCTACGTTTCATTTTTATAAATAATATAATGTTATTATTTTTTTATTTCATCTATGTTGATTAGGCTATATGAAAAGGGAACCGTATGAGATGAGTAAGATAGGATCATAAGATGACCAATAGGCCTATATATCGGAAAACATTTGGAATTGGTCAGACATAATTTTGACCACTTATTTAGTTTTGTTTTGTAGAAAGCCTTTCTTTAAAGTTTATTTCGTTTTGTATAAATTGTATCTTCATTTTAATCAATGTTTCATCAACAAATTTGCCTGGATTAAAAAATAAGAATTTATTCATGTGAAGTGTGCATTTCTCTCTCTATGCGCGTTCACTACTGCGAAGATGGCGAGTCTGCATCGTCAACTTTATCAATTTATCAACAATTTAAATGTTTCATGCATAATCATTACTTTCGCCGGTTCTTTGTGGCAAGCTTTATTTCAGGTGTTGCGTGATATCTCTGCGCCCAAGTAGCAGTGCTTCGCCTGTGTAGAGTCTCCGCAACGGCGATAGATTGAAACGCGCGTCCGAGTGAAGATTGCGCAACTCGCGCAGCGCGTCGTCCATGCAACTGATAGCAGCGGACACGAGCGCTCAGCTTGATTTAAAAAACAACTGATTTTAGCGCTAGATCTCTTATTTAATAGCGTACTAAATGAATGATCTGCTAGTTAACTGGAGATGTTAACTAGTTAGCTAGTTATTTATTTGTATTAGGTACATCCGTGCCTCAATGTTTCAAAAAGTGAATGTGTGTGAAACCATAGTAAAAAACAATTGGTGTTAATTGACGCCAATCGGACGTTCATGTTGTTTTCGTCTATTTGAAAGTCAGGCTAATAATAACATGTTGCATTCTATACGGCCTGATTATGTCATTTTTTAAGTTACATAGCCTGCCTCCAGTTCCTCAACTTGACTAATTAAGAGGCGATATTTGACCGGCATATCATCAAAATGTCCGTTAAACGAAACCTCTGCCGGTCACTTTGACCGGCACCATTTTTTTCTAGCGGAAACTCTGTTGCTGACAGTAGTTTATAAGCTATGATTAGTTGCGTAGGCAGTGCGCATTAGGCCTACATGGATCTGCAAGTGATGGCGGGGGCGTGGAAATCACAAGCCACACGCGGCTGAGAGATCGCACAAATTTTTTCACGCCAAAATACAGATATTAACATGAAAGTAAAGCATTCTTGGTGTTTTTGTCATGTTGCAATAGCCTGTTTACACTGATTATATACCAAAATCAAAGCTGATACTTTATGCTAATAGATAAAGGAGTCATAATAACATATTAGATGCTTTGAATTCCTTATATATAGATATGCAGTGTTCTATGCAGCCTGGATGGGTCGCTGTACGTGATGCTGTACACTTATTATAACCACAAGAGACTTCAGACTTGACTTGGACTCTAGCACAGAGACTTGAGACTTGACTTGGACTCTAGCTCAAAGACTTGAGACTTGACTTGGACTCTAGCTCAGAGACTTGAGACTTGACTTGGACTCTAGCTCAGAGACTTGAGACTTGACTTGGACTCTAGCTCAAAGACTTGAGACTTGACTTGGACTCTAGCTCAAAGACTTGAGACTTGACTTGGACTCTAGCTCAAAGACTTGAGACTTGACTTGGACTCTAGCTCAGAGACTTGAGACTTGACTTGGACTCTAGCTCAGAGACTTGAGACTTGACTTGGACTCTAGCTCAGAGACTTGAGACTTGACTTGGACAGTGTACTTGACAGTGTATCAGTTTGAAATATGTGGAATCTATACATGTGGAATCTTATTTGAGTGTTAGTTCGCCTTTACAAAAGTTGCAAAGTGCACCAAAAAATTCTTACTGAGAAAAAAAAAAACGGTGTTCATACTGTTGAAAGAGTTTCGCATGGTTATTTAGATTCCCTGACAAGAGTTCATACTGGAATGAAGCCACACCACTGGCTAAATCAGTATATCACACAATGAATAACTGGAGTCCAATACAAACAACTTATTCTTTTCAGTTTTTATACAGTCAGTATTTTCTTTATAAAATTACAACAAGTATTTTGGACAAAACAATATTATGAAGATTTATTGAAAGTTTGCAAGATATCTTTCATTTTCTGTAATCAACAAATGTTTATATAATTATGTAGCACATCCTTCTTTGAGGAGGCTATTCTCAACTTCAGAGATGCCGATGTACTGATCCCTGTATTCCCGAGTTTGGCTTTCCTGTTTTGTCGGCCAGTATTCAACCCAGGTGTGCTCTCCCAAGATGTACTGCAGACTAAAACAACAGAAAAGTGAAGACATGAACGACTTGGCGACACATGAATCATTTCCAGTATAAGGGTCAATGACAAAGAAGGATGTACAAGGTGATAAAAACCATTGTATTAAATTTTGTCATGTAGCTTGATGCTAATTGTAGCTCTAATGCACCTGTTGCGCCAGGAGCTATATATATTTAATGATTTTGTTAAAAGAATTCACATAAAGTCCCAAGAATACTTTTTTTGTTTCTTTTCTAGAAAGACTTCAGATAATATGTGGATTAATGTATCGTGGGATGAAAGTGGTATTGATGGACAAGCATTGCAATGGATATAGGCTAACAATGGCTGAATACAAACAAAAGAATAATGAAATTAAGTCTCATTCACAGCAGAAGTGTGAAAGGTTCGTTGTGTGAAAACAATAGAACATGAATTGCGCAGTTCTCCTCGTCAGATATTACTCAATAGACTGCAAATGGGTGTTTAAAGGTCAATAAAATATTTCAGTAGCATCTTATCAGCCTTCTCTAAAAACTCACGACATGGTCTTACAATATGCTTCATAACACACAGAATTTTAGAGATATCATCCTCAGAATTAAACTGAAGCATGACCACACTTGTGGCCTCACTTTAATTGTGGTTATAAGTTGTTATACTACATTCCAATAATATTTTTATACATTTAAACGCTATATTCTTAAAAGTCTTATGTTTGATCTTATGTATCTGCATATTTAACAGTTGGGGTTAATTCAGAAAATGTGTTCATTATAGATGTGTATTCAAGCCATTTTTTTCTAAACTTTATTTCTTAATGCATCTCTTAAATAACAGAACAGAACTTTAAATACATTTGAACAAAATTCTTCACATCACTGAGCCAAAAACAAGCTTGTACAGACTTTAAATACATAAAGCTCAGGCAAAATCCTGTTATTTACAGACACAGAGTGGACACTTACGTTCCTCCGAGCCTTGGCAGGTCAGTGGATTTGCCCATGATGAGGTACGACTTGCCTTCTTTCAATCCCAAATGATCTCTGCAATTGGGACGACCCAAAAATGGTCTGACTCTCCCCTCAACATCCTCATCAGTGCCTACAGGACAGAACAGTGTTTTAGGACACACTTTCACTGCAATGCAAATCAGCCTCATGCTGAATATGTATTTGAGAGAAAAAAACTGCATTTAACAAGAATCAGACAAATTTCATGAGCATGGAGAGACCATTGTACCTTCTTTCAGCACTTGCTCCACCTTCAAGTGAAAGATGTCAGAGTCCTGTGCCAGATCCATCCCCACCACTGAGACTTTATAAACTGTCAAACACACATGTTATATCGTTATCTACATGTAGAGCTGTAAGGCTCAGGTCAAACTTTTTAAAATTGCATTTACACAAGGGTTTAAATAGCCTGGTTAAAACCAGACCATTCTCAGTTGTAACTGAGTTATGGTCTGGCAAAGCGTCATAGACAAATCATTTCCAGAGGGGCGTCACCAACGGACGTCGCGGATAGACCTAAACCCAATCAGAGCGATGAAGGAGATGACGTATGCAGAGCGGCGGAGAAACATCTTCGAGTGTTGTTCTTTGCTCGGTTTTTATCAAAAAGGAAACGTTCAAATCGCTTAAAACAGACGCGATAGCTGATTCGAACGAGTGATGTTCGACGGCGGCATCCATCTTTGTAATGTAGGCTACAAAATCTGCTTCAAAATCCCAGCGCTGTCGTCATCGTGTAAAGCCCGCCCCAACGTTTCTGATTGGTGCCTCGATTTCGACGGATTGGAAATGGGCTTGAATGAGCTCTTTGCCAGACTAACTTTCAGAGCAAATCTAAATTTGCCGGAAGTTGTCTGGGTTTTCCCAGGCTAGCGTTTAAAGGAAGTCCACACAAAAACAAAAATTGTTATCATTTACTCCCATCATGTTGTTCCAGACTTTCTTCTGTAGAGCAAAACATATTTTTTCCCCCCGCAAAAGAAAAAAAGACATTTCAAAAAGATTCAGTAAAAAAAAAAAAAAAAACTCCATGTTCACTGCTCACTGATGATTCAGTTTCAGAGATTGTTGAGTTAACAGCTCAGTGGAAGGGAGTATATTCAGTGAATAACCACATGGATTTGTGTCTGTTCTTCAGTACACAAGTCAAATGTATGGTATGTTTGCCATTTTTAGAGCAGAACAGACAAGGTCATTATAAAAAGAGGATCAGATAACATTAAATAGAATTTTTCATTGTCGATTCCGTTTTTTTTTTTTTTTTTTTTGCCGATTCCGATACCGGTTGTCGATTTATTGTTTTCTTTCTTTGTTTAAGCAAATGTATTGTTTATTTGCTACAGGTCCTTCTCAAAAAATTTGCATATTGTGATAAAGTTCATTATTTTCCATAATGTAATGATAAAAATTAAACTTTCATATATTTTAGATTCATTGCACACCAACTGAAATATTTCAGGTATTTTATTGTTTTAATACTGATGATTTTGGCATACAGCTCATGAAAACCCAAAATTCCTATCTAAAAAAATTAGCATATTTCATCCGACCAATAAAATAAGTGTTTTTAATACAAAAAAAAAAGTCAACCTTCAAATAATTATGTTCAGTTATGCACTCAATACTTGGTCGGGAATCCTTTTGCAGAAATGACTGCTTCAATGCGGCGTGGCATGGAGGCAATCAGCCTGTGGCACTGCTGAGGTGTTATGGAGGCCCGGGATGCTTCGATAGCGGCCTTAAGCTCATCCAGAGTGTTGGGTCTTGCGTCTCTCAACTTTCTCTTCACAATATCCCACAGATTCTCTATGGGGTTCAGGTCAGGAGAGTTGGCAGGCCAATTGAGCACAGTAATACCATGGTCAGTAAACCATTTACCAGTGGTTTTGGCACTGTGAGCAGGTGCCAGGTCGGGCTGAAAAATGAAATCTTCATCTCCATAAAGCTTTTCAGCAGATGGAAGCATGAAGTGCTCCAAAATCTCCTGATAACTAGCTGCATTGACCCTGCCCTTGATAAAACACAGTGGACCAACACCAGCAGCTGACAGGGCACCCCAGACCATCACTGACTGTGGGTACTTGACACTGGACTTCAGGCATTTTGGCATTTCCTTCTCCCCAGTCTTCCTCCAGACTCTGGCACCTTGATTTCCGAATGACATGCAAAACTGAGCAACAGTCCAGTGCTGCTTCTCTGTAGCCCAGGTCAGGCGCTTCTGCCGCTGTTTCTGGTTCAAAAGTGGCTTGACCTGGGGAATGCGGCACCTGTGGCCCATTTCCTGCACACGCCTGTGCACGGTGGCTCTGGATGTTTCTACTCCAGACTCAGTCCACTGCTTCCGCAGGTCCCCCAAGGTCTGGAATCGGTCCTTCTCCACAATCTTCCTCAGGGTCCGGTCACCTCTTCTCGTTGTGCAGCGTTTTTTTGCCACACTTTTTCCTTCCCACAGACTTCCCACTGAGGTGCCTTGATACAGCACTCTGGGAACAGCCTATTTGTTCAGAAATTTCTTTCCGTCTTACCCTCTTGCTTGAGGGTGTCAATGATGGCCTTCTGGACACCAGTCAGGTCGGCAGTCTTACCCATGATTTCGGTTTTGAGTAATGAAACAGGCTGGGAGTTTTTAAAAGCCTCAGGAATCTTTTGAAGGTGTTTAGAGTTAATTAGTTGATTCAGATGATTAGGTTAATAGCTCGTTTAGAGACCCTTTTCATGATATGCTAATTTTTTTAGACAGGAATTTAGGGTTTTCATGAGCTGTATGCCAAAATCATCAGTATTAAAACAATAAAAGACCTGAAATATTTCAGTTGGTGTGCAATGAATCTAAAATATATGAAAGTTTAATTTTTTATCATTACATTATGGAAAATAATGAACTTTATCACAATATGGTAATTTTTTTTGAAGGACCTGTATATGACAAGCCAAACCGGCCTTAAAAAAATATCTGTACCCATTTGAAATTAGAGACAACCACTGAATTTAATCATGATCCAAACAAAGAGGCATGAGCAATTGTCTTTGATTTGAATTATGTTTTTATAATTTAATGCTTAAACACAAAGCATCGCGGCGCTTATAAACAGGCATTATGCATTATATAACAGGATTTATACATCCATTAACTTTGAAAAGAGCAGTGTCAAGAACTTTATTTTTGCATTTCAATGAAAAAAGGAACATTAAGGATTAGAAAAACATGAGGGCGTGTAAATAATAAAAACACATTTACCATAATCCATGCCAGCTTCACAGGCTTTATTCAAGCGCTCCCCATCTCCGACACCTTCTTTCCTCTGGTAACTGCAGTTTTCTGTGTTAAGAGAAGTTAACAGTTCATACTGTTATTTTTCCTAATTCACATTCAAGAGTAAATCATTACTGAATTTTTAACTCCGTTTCCAAGGGTTGAATCTAGATGTAGAGGAGATGATTTCAGTCATAACCTCAACCGTCTGTTCAGCAAATTAAAAGCCAGACTGTTTAAATTTTTTGTTTTTAGTTCTAAAATTAGTAGGGATGCACCGAATCCAGGATTCGGATTCGGCCGAATATTGGGATTTTTAACGGGGTTCGGTTTCTGCCGAACCTCAGAATTTTTTTCCACCGAACCGAACCCTAGGCTTGCACTACGCGCGCTACGTCGAAGTCACCGATCAGTGAATGACATCAAAGTACCGCGTGAACGAATAGAGAGCAGACGGCTCCATGCTTTTGAATTGCTCTCGCGGGACTTTGATGTCATAAACTCATCTGTCTGTGCAGCTCCGGTTCAAGTCGAACAAGCCTGTAGTGTAACGCGTTGTGTCAGGAAGAAAAATAGGGATAGCTCACAGCTAAAGTTATTGCAGAGGCCAGACAGACTCACGGAGGCGATTGGCATCTCACAACTCGCACTTTATTCCACAATCGAACTTGTGTAACTGTCTGTCACACGTTCTACCGTCCACAGCGTTACTTAACAAAATAAGGTAAAAATGAGCATCAAACAGAAATAACCCGCATACATGGGCATGTGTTCGAGGCGCACGGCACATACGGCGCGCAGTTCTTAAAGGGGCCACACCTTATTTCCACTCGTTACAGAAGGTGGACCGTTCGAATGCAGTAGGCTGTGAGAAAGTGAAAATGGAACTCGTGAGCAGAAAAAGTGTTGTTTGGCAGTACTTTCAGTGAAAGAAGGCAATTCAAGTCGAGCTACATGTTCAATTTGCAATGCCGATTTGTCTCATGGACATGGTGGCAAGGACTCTAAATAGGCTACACAACATCGCCGCTGTTAAAATGCATAATGTTGCTTATTCTTTTTTTTTTTTTTACAGTTATAAAAGTAAAAGTAGTGTTTATTATTTACAGTAATAAAATAAAATGAAAAATCCACTTTGTTTACTTCATTAATGTGTTTACTGTGTTAATGGACTGAGGATGAGAGTAGGATTCGGTATTCGGTTTCGGATTCGGCAGAATCTTAACCAGTGGATTCGGTATTCGGCCGAACCCCACAAATCTGGATTCGGTGCATCCCTAAAAATTAGTATATTTTTTTCTGACACTTTGACTGGCATTACTAGTGGACAGTTTGGAATAATAATAAAAAATCTACAACGCTAAAGGATATGGTGTTATTGTGTTCTTATGTGTGCTAATACCTTCTGCACACTGGCACATGTCTCCCTTACACAGTCTGTATAAAGCGCCATCTTCCCGCTCAGGGTGGAAGTACTTTGTACAGCGTGCATCTGGAAAAGAAACACATTCATGAGTTTAATTGATTTCATGAAATGTAAATGCAGTTTTGACCAGGTGTGACATAGTCAGGTGTGACTTATTTTCTGGAAGATGTGTTAATATTGTTACAATATTTGCTGAGAAAAACATCCAAATGAAGATTATTCAAAGGCATCATTGAGGCAGATGACTAAATCAGTGAATGGACTTTGTGCAGGATATGGAGCTGAGAAATAAACGGCCATGTTAATTTGAGAGCTCTAGTTTAATTAAACAGAAGTGTGTGTGTGTTTATGCACATGCACAAAAAACTTACTGGGTGAGTAATATTCATATATTGTGACAGCGGCAGGTTGAAGCAGACCCACATCAAGCATCTTGTGCATTCTGAAGGTGATTCTTTGTTTTTCTATACGCAAAACCTAATAATACAAAAACCAAAGCAAATGTATGATTACATATGTTGTGCACTGAAAGCAACGAATAGTTAAAAAAAAAAATCCAATAAAAAAATGAATCTATAGCTACAATTATTTGTCATAGTTGTACATTCTCTTGTGCTTTAAAATGTTGTGTGAAATATCAATTTTATACTCATAAGTGAAATAATGAGCACTTTGGAACATCTGTCAGCCAATCAGAATCAAGGATTCAAGAATTGCTTATAGAAATATAAAGCAAAGGTCCAAAAAAAATATTTGATGCAATGATCAGGCAACACAGTCTGCTGAAATACCTTATCTAAGTAGAGGATGAGGGATCCTCGCTCTGACAGCACTTTGTCCATCTCAAATTTCTGAATGTATCTCTCCTTCCCTGTGGACAACTGAGGACAAGAAAATGAGAAAAAAATAGCAATACATGATATGATCAAATGTCCTGTCTGTAGATGTTTATTAGATTCCTCATCTGTTTACATATAAGCTACTAGAGCTGAGACGCTCCACAGGGCTCGTGAGTTTTTGTTTCTAGAATAAAATCATTTACACAAATATGAGGCATCAGTTTATCAGCGTAATACCTCTTCAAGATCTTTGCTTTCCACTCTAAATCCTGTCGGTATGCCAATGTCCAGAATTGTCATGGTGGCATCGGTTTTATCGCTTTTGTAGCTGTGAAGGACAGATCCGGAACAAACTTCAGTTTTCCTCCATCAACTAATTCTACATTTAAGGCTGCTTTCACACTAGAGCTTTTTAGTCTGCTTGATGTCAGAATTATTATATTGTAGTATAAAACAGAGCTGATTGTCTCTAAATTATTATTTTTTTGAAGAGCAAGTTGCATCTGCATCATAACGCAGTGAAGTTTGAGTCTCCGCTGGTGTAACGGTGATAACCAGCTGTTGCTAGTAATCGTGTTCATGACGCAACTGTACTGTGGTTGTGGGAAAAAGTAGTGAATGATCGAACTCTGACCAAGTAAACAAACCAAGTGTGAAAACAGCCTAAATGAGCACATGCTGATTAATTACAAATAAAAATGGTTTCTTGACATAAAAATAAACTTATTAGGAAATGTGTTCACATACAAGAAATCCATGGTGAGCTTGTAAGTTTCAATGGCTCCTTCTTGTTTTGCTAAAGGCAAAAAAATGTATAATAATTAACGTAAATATCCAACACACATGGGTATGTTGGAGATTGCACTTTCAAAATGAATGGAAAGTGAATGAACTCTTTGTCAATCTTACTTTCAAAGTCTTGCACCATTTTAACAGTCAGATCAAAGAGTGTACAGTCAGACTTCTTCTCAACAGGTCTGGCATAGTACAGCGTCAGAACCTGAAACGAGCAGCACATCTCAGATTAGATGTTCAGACGCTTTAATCTTGCTGTCGACTAAATAAACGCTCATGAACACTCACTGAGAGAGTGGCCATTCCAGTTCCTTTAGCCGTCACATTGAAGTCCTTGTTGATCTCCACCTGTTGAGTGAACACAGATGCACTCGAGTCAGCAGCATAATGAAATGGAGATATCTGAAGACCTTATTATAGAGGAGAGCCAGTGGGTGGAGCTTGACATCCAGCTCCCCCTCTCTGGACATAATGGGTGGAGCTTGAAAGTACAGCCACACCCTATCTCCATTCTTACCCTTTCCCTAAACCTAATAAGGTTAAGCTCCACCCAATAGGTACACATAGGTGGAGCTGGACTTGGGGAAGCTCCACCCATTACCGTAAAACTTCAAATAATAGTCCGGGCTTTTATTTTCCCAAATCGCCGAACTGCACCGGCTTGTATTTGAGACAGGCGTCTATTTGAGACAGGCCTTTAATTTAGTGTTGAGATGTTGTTCATTGAGTGTAGGCCTAGAGATAACAATCCAAATAGCATAGGCTGATAGACGGAAGGCATGACAGTAGGTTACCACATTATATTACGTTTTATTTATAATTCGAATCTGTTTAACAAATCAGTTAATGTAAGAATTAACCTACTATGTTACCGTATGTCTAAAGGGGGTCACACACCGGACGAGAAGCGACGGCAACGGCTCAGGACCTTGTTCAAAATCCTGCCGCGTTTTATATTAAATTTACATTTATTTGTCTCAAATCGTCGTTATGTATCTATACTGACTTCACCCTGTGCTGCAATATACTTTTAGTTTTACATTCATTAACAGAAATCAGCTGGTTAAATGAAAATTGTTGATGTTAATGGATTTTCAGGTGATAGTATTCTCAATTCATTCAGTTAACGGACGCTCTGAGGTAAAGTGTTCAGACTGCAGACTTAGCAACGATTGTAATTAATTGTACAGTGCACTCATAACATAATCTTAATTCCATAATGTCCTTACACATAACAGTATTGCTGGCCATAAACTGACAAAGTGCGCGTCCGGTGTGCGATACCTCGAGTTGTCATAGACGCGACGCGGTGAGTGCCTTTCTTGCGCTAACAGCTCCGCCTAGATGCACAGGGCTCTCTTGCAAAAAAACAGACCAGGCCTTTATTTAATCAAACCTGTCGCCACACCAGGCGTGTAAAAGAGACAGGCGTCTATTTGGGACTCGGCTATTATTTGAAGTTTTACAGTATGTTGATAGAGGGCTAGCTGGACATCATTTGGCTCTGCAGTGAGCACCACTTGTTTTATTGACCGAACACAACGCTATTGACATAGACAACTAAATGTGATAAATGACGAATAACAAAACTGATACAACAAAAACATCCAATTGACGAGCAGCACACATTTTGAATCAGGTTGATGAGTTAATCCTCACCTTGTCTGATCGTGCAAGATGCACATTGTCTCTTTTAATAGTATATCTGACAGGTTTGCTTCTTCCTGCCACTGACAGCTCCACGTCCAGATTGAAGTTTTGTCGGTCCTTCACCTGCGTGCGATACTCTGCCACGGCCTGGAACACCATGATGGTCGCCTGGAAAGTGCAGAACAGCATTCAAAGACAAGTTCTGCATCTGTTAATCACAGTCAGATGATGAGATGTTAGTGTACCTGTGTGGTGCCAGATCCACCATAATGAGACTGTTGTGAACGCAGCCAGTAAACTGCTTCTCCTGCTTTATCAAAGTCTTTGGCCTTCACAAGTGCCAGCACAGCATAGGCCGTCGCCTCTAGAGAGTGATGACGCTGTCCAGCGACAGTCCAAAGCCTACCGGCTGATTCAAACACAAAGCAGGAATAGAAACAGGACTGTGTTCCATTACTGTTCTTGACACAAACCAGCAGCGATAATTACACTACAAAATTTGATCATTTTTCCATTATTTACACTGGGTTTGGATTAGAATAATTCCATATTGTATAAAGCAAAACACTTTTTGATGACTTGTTACTGACCGTCTCCTTGGGTGGAATGTTTCATCAAGATGTCTTTATCGAGTTTTTCAGCATTGGCCATGGCGTAGGACGTCATCGCAACAGCGTAAGGATTTCTTAGTTGTGGAAGTCGACCTTCTAAGAATACAACAGCCTTCCTGATACTTTCATGCAGACTCTATAAAAGTGTGTGCAAGAGGTTAAACCCAAGAAGAAGAAAAAAAGATAATTTATGAATTAATGTCTTTGATGAACAAAACAGTGGAAGAGCTGTACTTACACCAACTGATCCAGCACAGATCTCTCTGGCCTCTTGCATGGCAATCACAACAAAGGCCGTCAGAGAGGCATCGGCATCTATGCCTCGTACATCACCCTGGAATAAAGCACAAATAAAAATAATCCCAATTTTTTTTTCTAATTAAAGGAAAATTTACACATAATAATAATTTTAAAAAAAAAATATATATATAGATATATATATGTTTTGGCCGTTCATTTACACGACAACGAAATATTTGAAAACGGGTTTCAAAGTGCAAGTGTTTAAAAATTATACCATCTCCGTGTAAACTACAAAATTTGAATTCTATCAGGTCTATCGCACTTGTATTACATTACAGTTGTATTACATGTTCAGATGCAGAGTTTTTTTTTTTTTTTTTTACAAAGTGACATTGCCAACTACTGGCCTGGCAGCACAATGCAGCATTTTAGTAATTTTTGCAGATTGGTCTGAAGAGAGATCATTTTAACGTTGTCATCTGTACGTCAAAAATACAAAGGAAAAACGTTTCAGTTTTTATTACAATGTTGTCATGTAAACGTGCCCTGAATCAGCAAATGTAGTCTGCTAAAATATTTTTTACTAAGCCTATCAACCAATCAGTGGACAACAATTGAATCCATGCATAACTTTAACAAACTGAGTGTCACAATCACAGATTCTGGTACTTCCCTCTCAAGCCGTCAGAGGGCGCCTTCGCCCGAATATTAGCTCCTCCATTCATTACATTCATCTCGCACAGCTGTTCTGACTCCAATCATCTCGTACAGCTGTTCCTCATCTTCTAGGCTTTATAGCCACTACTCACACAGCGCTCTGTGCGAAGTTTTGTATTACTGCTGTGATCAATTCGAAGCATTTTCTCCTGTGTTTCGTCTACCTGGTTTGATCCTATCTTTGTTCCTAGACCACACCAGTTTGCTGCCTGCCTACATCGACCATTGCCTGGATACTGGATTCTGCTTCACTCGCTGCCTGCCTCGACCTTTGCCTGTAGACTGGACTCAGCCTGCTTCTTCCCATAACAACTGAACCCCGTTACGATGTTGTTTCTACATTAATTTGGAGATTAACTGTGAAATTATTACATTATAAAATATATAAAAATCCCAATAGGCTATGATTGCAATTTGCAATGGTAATTGAGCAGTTTATATATGAACACAAGCCTTTAAAATGTCATCATGTAAAGTGATCTCCTCAGAAGAAATTGCCTAGACTTTAAATGGATGGACAAAAAAAATGTATAATATTAAAAATATTTGTATGACAGTTGGTCTATATATGGCAGTTCTTCCCTGTGGTATTGAAAATCGATACATTTCAAGGTATAGTGACAACACTAGTGTAGGGTGAATTATCAAAGGGTGCCTTTACTGAAAAAAGGTTGGGAAACACTGGTACATACAATAATATTTTGACATAATTTGGTGTATTTGTGTATTACGTGCAAGAAGACACGAAAGAGAGCTCAATTCACTATTTATACCCTATATGAGGCAGCTTTTTGTGTGTGAGCTCTGGATGTGTAGCCTGGATGCCAGCCGAACTTAGCCTCGCCCACAACATTTGAGGTTGGGAAGTTCGGTCTGGACTTGATCTGTTGTGGAGCAACTATGTTTGAACCAGAGCTGGTCGGACCAATCAAATTGTCAGGGCGGGCTTTATACGATGATGGACAGATGATCAACAGTAACGTAATCATTCACGTCACCAAAGAGCGCTTGGGTTGAATTTGTTTACAATAAAGGGCTGCCGCTGGAGAATTGAGATAGAAGATATCAACAGCGCATTAATTTTAAAATAGGAACAGAGAACCGTGATCAAGGCATTTGTCGATCGGAAAGATGTTTTTGCCGTCCTTCCTACGGGATTCAACATACGTTACTTACTCCTTTGCTGTGATTAGTTGTAGTCCAATTGAGTGCAGAGGCATTTTCTTTCCTGGTTCGGTTGTAACATGCCCCATAATCATAGCCCAATGGAGCAGTATCAGACTCATATTCTGACTAGAATTTGAGTATGATGACGTCCGGCTACTGGATGTGCCCAGCACAGAAAAAAAAAACTTGCAAGTTCGAGTTCTGTTTCACTTGAATGGTTTAAAACCACATTAAAACGCACACACAGAAATCGATAAGCGGAATCGAAATTATAAATTTCGCAAACCTAGTCATAGTGACATTCAACTTACCACCATCTCTCCATGAATTACAGCTGAATCCTCTTTAAAGGAGCCGTCTGGCAGTTGTTTGTGGAGAACGAGCCACTTGAGGGCACTGCAGAGCACATTTTCCTCTATAGGAGCAAAGTTATTGGCCATGGCGAAGATTTTGGCCACATATGCTGTCAGCCTTTAATAGACAGAAACAAATGCAAATTAGTAACAAATAGTAATTTGTTACTAATAATCATAAAATAATCAAATATGACAGGAGAAACAGGGCATGAAAATACATAAAACAAATTAAATTGATGGAAATTAAAATACCATGTGCTGCTCTGCCTGTTTACCCAGGCAGCGTAGGATCCATCTGATTTACGGTAACCCAGCTGCCGTTGATAACCTTGATGCAAAATAAGTTAAAGAAGAAATACTTTGCTGTTTATTATTTATTCAATTTTCTTTTCTTTTATTTCAAATCATCGTCAAATTCTTTTATATCTATTGTATCCTGCTGACCTGTTTTGATATGATTAATGGCTTCATTACGCTTGTCCATACCAACAGTATCCCACTGATTTGTGCTGTCCAGATAATGAGTGGCAATGAGAGGTAGAGTCATGAAGATCATGTTCTGCTCTCCACATCCATGGGGCTGGACAATAAGGCGACCCATGAAGTCTCCACTGATGGCCTGCTCAACTGTCTGAGAGATCTCTTCACCTGGAAGGTGGAAAGAGGAAATGCAGGCTGAGAATTAATTGTTTGTTATCTTTGTTATGATGAGCTAAATAGTGTTGTCACGATACTAGAATTTCTAACTTCGATACGATACCTTGAAAAATATCGATATTCGATACCATTTTCGATACCACGGAGAAAAAACTGCCACAATATTAAGGGGGTATTTTTTTAATTTAAAGCTAAATATAACAAGTCTAGAACATGACAATGAGGTATATTTTACATGAACAAAAATGTCCTGAGTTCTATTTGTTTATATTTTTTAATTGGACCAGAGCCAACATGATGTATTTTTATTACTGTTATCAAAGATTAAAATATACTGTAACAAAAAAGCACTTAACAGTATCAAATTGGAGGATAGAGAGTCAGTAATGTATAATAATAAGATTAAACATTCAATTTTCAGTTAAAGGCATGTCATTATTGAATTTAGAGATGCCATTGTCTAGCTGTTTAGTTTAATTAATATCTGTGTAATCAAATTGATGATAATAGCTAATGAAGGAAAATTGCAGAATTAAATAATAATTTTTGAATAAAGTTAAATAGGCACCAGTTAATTTACATTTGACGGTTTTGACCACAGTTACAATATTTACTTGTCTAAGATTCCTCAGTCAGATTATGTTAACTTTAAGAATTAAAACGAGACAACACAGACTCTTATCAACAACAATACTAGGCCATCTTGGTTAATGTTTCAGAAAAGTTCAAATGGGAAGAGTTACAGTGTTTCCTTGAGGATTTTTTTTTAGCAGTGGGGGCAGGTCTGTCCAAACAACAAACACCCCTGATGCTGAGCATATGCTGCTAAATAGTAGCCTACCCCTGGAGCCTGTTCCTTAAGTCTGTTTTCACCTATACAATAATTTAAAAAAATGAGTGATGTGAGGGATTATTGATAGTCAAACAATCTGTTGGGTGCCCGCAGCCCGCTCGCGTGTCCGCGCTATCCTCCGACATGCCCGCTCGCGGTGTGTAGCTCGTGTCCGCGCTATTCCCATGCCCGCTCGCGGTGTGTAGCTCGTGTCCGCGCTATTCTCCGACATGCCCGCTCGCGGTGTGTAGCGTGTGTCCACGCTATTCTCCGACTCCAACATGCCCGCTCGCGTCCGCGCTATTCTCCGACATGCCCGCTCGCGGTGTGTAGCGCGTGTCCACGCTATTCTCCGACTCCGACATGCCCGCTCGCGGTGTGTTTTTTACGCGTGTCCGCGCTATTCTCCGACATGCCCGCTCGTGGTGTTCTTAATCAATCAACCAAAGCCGGTCGCGGGGGCGCGGCCCTCGCCATCTTTCCATTCACTTCACTTTTGCTATTTAACCAGAGCGAATGAGACGAGTGTGTCACGTGTGGTGTTTGTCAACGCGCCTTTTGAGAGAAGTGAAAGTGACTGCTCGGTATCGATACTTCGGGAAATTAGTATTGGTACCGTTCAGATATTTCAGTATCGATATTTATCGAAATATCGATATTTTTGACAACACTAGAGCTAAATTGATTGGATAATTGTGGTTTGCTATTGGTTGATCTCATGTCAGTGACTGATTGTCCTGCCCTCTTGCCAGTAAACACAATGTGGCAAGCCGGTGGTGTGATTACTAACGAGCATCACCTGCGCGTCGCAATGGTCCCCCACCCTCTTGAGAGATGTGAGCGCAATCTGTCTTATGCCGAGTTCAGACTGCACGATTTTAGCCCCGATTTTGGCTCGCCGACAGGTTTTGAGAAATCGCCGACAAATGCCCGAAATCACAGGCAAGTCGGTGCTCGTTCACGCGAGTGACAATCACGCAGTGTGAATGAGCAAAGACGCGATCTGAGAGAATCGCCGACGAGTCGCCGACGCCCGTGAGATATTTGGCATGCTAAATATCTGGACCTGTCGGCGATTCACAATCCTGCTGTGTGAATGTGTTCTGACTGAAAACAACATCGGCGATGACCGACAGCCAATGAGAGAGCAAGATACAAGGAGGAGGAGGAGGAGTTATAGACCAGAATATCAGTATTTTAATAGATAGGCCTATATTTACAATTATATCAAACAGAAACAAAGCACAAACATTTGCATGACCAGCAGCAACAGCAGGACATTTGCAAAATTATTTATTTACCCCCAACTCTCTTTGCAAAACACAGTCCTTGCTCCCCTCATCTTCCCAACCATTTCCTGCATAAACTGTTTATTTTATTTTTTTCATTTTCGCTACAAATCAGTGCACAGACAATTTGCAGGCTATCATTTTTAATAACAAATTCAGTGTCGCGCGAGAACTCCGGTCTCACGCACGCGTGATCTTCCGTTATTTCCTATCGCTTCTCGCGTTTGTTTGGTTGTGAAACGTAGTTTGCGGACCAGGCAGAAGTTGTCGGCGATTCTTTCTTTTGTAAAGTCATGCAGTGTGAAACCTCCTGTCGCCGATCCATCGTGCAGTGTGAACACAGCAGCAACTGAATGTTACCCCAGATAGTCATGCAGTGTGAAAACAACAGTGACCCGATTATTTTGAAAATCGTGCAGTCTGAACTTGGCATTACAGGCCCTGCAGAAAGATCTGTTTGAGCCTTTGCAATCAGTGGAGCTTAGTGCCCTTTCCATGAAAATGGCCCTCCAGATTCCGCTCACATCTCTCAAGAGGGTGGGGGACCTACAAGCCCTATCAGTGAATTGTGCCTGGAATTTAGGCCGGCTCATTCTCAATGTTATCCTGAAACCCGACCTGGATATGTGCCCAAAGTTCCCCACTACTCTCTTCAGGGACCAAGCACTCCTGATGAGGGAAACAAGAGCCCCTTCGTGGTAACCAAACCACGCCTTGAGTATCTACCTGAACTGAACATAGGGTTTCAGACAATCTGAACAACTCTTTGTCTGCTTCGCAGGTCAGCAGAAGGGGAAAGCTGTCTCCAAACAGAGAGTGGTCCACTGGATTCTGGACGGCATTCTCTGGGCGTATCAGGCCCAAAATGTACCGTGCCTGTTAGGAGTGAGACCTCACTCCACTCAATGTATTGCTGCCACTTTGTATCACTACCAGACACATGTAAAGTTGCGGACTAGCCTACACCCAATTCTTCACAAGATTTTATAATCTCCAAATGAAACCAGTTTCGTCTTGAGTTTTTGGTGATATTAGGTAAGTCTAGGACAAACTGGCTAGGTGTACTCCTTGCACAAACACCCTTTCCCTCTGTGAGATGATAACGTGCACTCTTTCAATCTAGTTTGAGTTTCCCGTGATTGGTGAACCCTAGGCCACCCTTCTCCATTATTTAGCACTCTTGCGGTAGTCGAGTTTCGTTAAGGAACTCACTACCAGTCCCTTTACTTGCAGTCTGCCCCTTTCAGGTGAGCCTTGTAGCCTGGATAGTGCTCTGTATTTAGTGGTTCCCTAATAGCGACCCCATATGATATATTCTTCCACTGTTCAGTTTCCCTGTCAGTGTACCCAGTGTCTTCCCCTGGAAGGAGCTAGCTCCGTCACCACTCACTATGGCAGGTAGTCTTCCCCTTGGTCGAGCCCACCATAGAGACTTTTACCTATGTAGTACTCCCTGCTGGCGAGTCCATAGGATGTATTTCCACATGTATACCTCCCCTTTGGGTAGGATGTGGTGTCAGTAGTGTTCGTTTCTTATGGTTTTCTTCCGAGACGCTAACTCAGCTCCTCAACTCAAACCTGAAGTGTTTATTGCATGCCAATGGGCTTATATACCTGTATGTCCGGTGGTGTGGCCTGGCATGCAAGCAGGGGCTACCAAGGACGTTCCCTCCATCAGGGAGCGAGTTACTGTCATATATTGGTTGTGCACTTGTGGACTTTTATGTTATTTCCTGTTGTGTGTTTTGCATTGTAGTTTTAGTTAGTTTTTGTCTGTGTATATATAGTGCTTATTTTTCACTTGTGGTTTGTCCGTTGTTGTATAAGGTTTCTTAGTTCCCTTGTGTTACCCTGTTTCCTTGTGTTTTTATTAAACTTCCTAGCATTTAGATTCTCTCTCATGCCTGCTTATTTTTACCTAGCATTACAGTTACCCTACCCAAGACATTTTATCCTAATCAGCTTCTAAAGCACGATACAAGACAGTGCAATGAATCTATTTTTGAATGGGTTCTACTTCTGCAACATATGTGCTTTGTATAGAGAGAACTGGCACAATCCTATTGAGGGCGATAATGGATTGCAGTGCGTGCATAGCTGCGTCCCAATTTAGAGGCTGCATCCTTTGTAGGATATGGCCACACCCTCATAGGCTGTAAAGGGTTGGACCGAGTGCTGTTAAATTGAATGGTCTAGCCCAGTGTTTCCCAACCCTGTTCCTGGAGGATCCCCAACACTGCACTTTTTTTTGTCTCCCTAATCAAACACACCTGATTCAACTCATCAGCTCATTATCACATGGGGATATATAAGGTCTGTTTGATTAGGGAGACAAAGAAAACGGGCAGTGTTGGGGGTCCTTCAGGAGCAGGGTTGGAAAACACTGGTCTAGCGCAGGGAGGACTGTTCTTGTAATCAACTCTTGACAGCTGCAGTTGGCGAGCGACAGTAACGTTTGTACAGCACTTTTTATATTCAACTGCCTGAAAACAAAACAGGGTTCAAAACCTGTCTAAATACATTCACCTTTGTGCATTTATGTACATAGCCTATTAAAGAGGATAATCTATATAAATCTTGGTAAGATATAAATCACCATTTGAACATATAGAAATATATAGATATTTGTATTAATTTTACATTCGTATCATTAGATACATATGATTATTTGAGTAAGTTGAAACCCAATACTTACATTTAAAAGTGTAATCCGGCAATTTCTCTCTAAAAATCCTGTAGGCACCACAGTGAATTCTAGGTTAGGGAAGACCGCATAGGATTCATCTGTTGTATCCTTCATTACCCACGAAAAGAAGGCAGCATTGGAAGGAGCCTTTGAATTGGGACAGCCGTTGTCGTGCCACGGTTATGTAATCGGCCTTCAAATGCGGCCTTAGAAGGACGCAGCTTGTGTGAGGGAGAGTTGAAATTGCGCGCTAGCTAGAATATATTTCTAAATATTGTATGCTACATTACTAAATGGCCTTTTTAAACTGATTATTGACTAATCAATCCTGTGAAGGGCGATAAAGAAGTTGTGAGGGCACGATAGAGAACTACTTATCCATTAATACTCCATATTTTTAAATATTGTATTACTGAATCACCATTTTAAAATGACTGTTGTCATATTTCAAGATTGACCCATATGAATCTGCAGGCTTTGTAATCAAAACTAAAACGAAGGAAAAGTTACACCGACTTAAAATGTTTTAATCGGATGTTGTGTTTACAAATCATACCCTGTCACTAGCAAAAATGTAAAAACACTGACAGTTAAATTAAAATGTTTTTAATCATTTTCAAATGACTAATGTAAAACCCTACTTTAATACCAAGTCCCACAGTTAAATGTGCTAATGTGTTAGGGTTCTGTCACTTCGGTCTAGTTAATTTCTTGGTTTTGTTAATTTCTTGGTTATTACGCTTGCTATATGTGCGGGGCATGGTGTTTGGATCCCGACACGTCTGTCTAGTTTTGTTTCGGTTCTGTGTCGGGATTCAGACATCCATGCTCCGTGTGTTTGTTTTCTGTTGTCAGCGCACGGAATGAGCTTTCACTTGTTCTCGTGCGCTCCGTCTTGTCACGTGAGAGCGCGGTTTCGAGTTCGCTTAAGCCGCCCGCTCTTCCGTCTGCGTGTGTTGTTGTGTCCTGTGTAGCACGCGGTTCGTGTTTTCATCGGCCGTGTCCTTTGATGTCATGTTTTGTCTTGTGCTGTATAGCACACAGCTTGTGTTTTGGCTGTGTGCTTTCATGTTGTCATGTTTTGTGTGAACACATGGCTTATGAGTGTTTTCATTAGCTGCGTGTTCATGTCTCGTTTGGTGTGAGCACATGGCTTGTAATGTGTTTCCTTGTGCCATGTGCTCTCCTGTCAATTGTCTAGCCCCTCCCACCTTGTTACCTGATTATGGATTAATTTGCCCCACCTGTCCTCCCTCGTTACCTGCCTTGTCTGCTCCATATTAAGGCCCTGTCCACACGGACACGGGTATTTTTATAACCGTGACTTTTTTTTTTACGCGGTTCGGCCACACGGAAACGCACTGAAACCGAACATTTTTGAAAACCCCTGCCAGGGTGAGGATTTTTTTAGAAACGCCGGTTACAGTGTTGTCGTGTAGACAGTGAAACCGGGGTTTTTGCCTTGTGACGTCAGAGTGTGCGCCGTTATCCGCTGTGTTTGACGTCAGATTTGCGCTTCTGATTGGCCAACGTGGCTTTAGGGTTAAGGTTTATATCACCGCCTGCTGGCGTGGCATGCTCTTGACCGCGCTTGATAGTGTGTTTTTACGTTTTCATGTAGACGGAGACCGAGCATGTGTGGACGGGATTTTTTTTAAAACGCTGTAGGAAAAACTCCGGTTATAAAAATACCCGTGTCCGTGTGGACATGGCCTTATTCTCCTTGTGTTTGCAGTCCTGTGTTGGTTTGTCGTTGTATGTACAATGTGTGTTTCCCTGCTGCTTCAGTCAAGTCAAGTCGGTCTTGTTTTCCCCCTTGGGGTAGTTTTGTTTGTATTTTGTTTTATTTTATACTTAATAAAAACCCATTTTTCCTGCGATTGAGTCCTCGCTTCATCTCCTCAACCCCACACCTGACATAATGGGGATTAGAAGTGAAGGGAGTTAAAGTTTTTAGCAATCTGTAAATTGATAGAAAACAGCAGCTTGAATTAAGATAATGATACATAAAATGCACCAATGCAGCTTTTTGCATGTTTTCATTGAATTTTCTTATAGCATGGAGATTGAAGATCAAATTACTATTCGTTTTACGGAGACGCATTTATGGATATAGAACATGCAAACTCAATTGGATGAGGCACATGTAGTGACCGAGTGATAAAAGCTCGATTAAAAATTATTATAAACCAGCCCCAGTCCTGCTCTAGAATCTTCATACAAGTACTACAACATTTGTCGTGGACATGATGAACAATTAGACAGATGTAACCAATTGATTGTAGATAAAGGCTTCATCTCTCTTTAAACAAAACATGCATAAAACGTTTAAGAAATAATCATTAAACATTCATGAAAAAATATTTTTTCCTTACCAGCAATCGAGATGTAGGTGTTAGCAGGAGTGTCTGGAACCCGATCCGCTGGTATTTCAGCTCTAATAACTATAGGCTCCTCCCCTGTTCCATTTGGGATGAGAAACAGAGAAGAACAGGAAGACAAAAGAAGAGTAATGATGAGTTATCAGAGTAGTCAGATTTTGTATTGTTTTGGTGAGTATTGAGCTGGAAAAGCAGTTGATTGTGATCTCAATTGGCAGGAACTATAATGATATTCGTAGATGTTTTTGTCTTGACTGGATAGAAGTAAACTGACATTAATTCAATGATTGTATGAAGTATACAGTTTCCATGGTTCACAGTAAATCTTACCATCCTTAACAGGATTGAGCTCCACTTTTGGTCTGTGTAATGGAATCAGCACACCCTCAGACTGAAGGAGAGAAAGAGAGTTAACTACCCGTGGTGCTCTGGATAATCTATTCAAAATATGACAAACATCTATTGATTATTGTGTAACAAATGACCAAATCAAATTAAACAGAATTGCCATCAGACGTACCACCACCTTCAGGGTCTTTCTTATTCCATCAGTGTGGACAGAATCAAATGCTGCAGCTTTCACCTCAATATCATGATTTCCCAGCGTCATGGGAATAATCACATATGAAACCGCTTTGCTGGAGTCTTTGTCAATGTTTACTGTTGTTCTGTATTTGCCTTTCTTACTGGCAAAGCTGCAAACATGTTCTGTCTCCATAAACTCCACACGCACCTGTGAAAACAGGAGAGACACAAATCGCTTCAATATCTTTAGATTCGAGATAGAAACTTCCTCTAAAATAAATCAAATAAGAAAAGTGTGATAGACATTTCTGTTTTAGCAATGCTCAATATCCTACACCTTTTTTCACTTTGAGTCACATAGAGCATAAAATCTGAAATGACTCTCAGAATCCATGTATCCTGTCATTAGTAAATTATTTGACTTAAGCAGAAATGGTTATTACGATGAACATGGTTTTAATGTATACCATAAATCAACATTTATTTTTTAATTTCAAATCTACCTTCTGCTTCTTTGGTGTGTAGTTGTGAATAATGGCCTTGATCTCCAGTTGTTCACCGCGCACAGCTGAATAAGGGATCTTGAGGTCAACGAATAAGCTCTTAAAAACGATAATCTCCTCAGGTTCTGCCACACAGATGCCTTTGAGGAGGAACACAGACACACAGAAGGGTTTAAAGCAGCAGCTCCTGGATGATGAGGATGAGGATGTTTTTCAGATCATGTATCTTGCGTTTGCAGCTTCATCTTACCAAGTGTTGGTGACAGACTGACAGCCAAGATCTGCCAGGTAGTGATAGAGTCTTTCAGGTAGATCACTTTATCTGTGACTGGTGCTGGACTGGGATATGAGGAAAATAAATTTAAAAATTAGAAATGTTCAAGAACTCTTCTAAAGCTTCATAAGCTGGTCTGGTCTGAAACCTACACCATAGTTGGTTTGTTATTAGACATTCCCATTACTCGTTTCCTATAAAAATGTATGAACGACAGTGGATATCATTTCATGTTGTTGATGTCTAATCAGTTTTCTTGCATCTAAAATTAAAAAATTCTAGTGGGGATCAGTGCATAAAATGCATAATATCAAAGATAATTAAGAAAAAAAGACATGCTCTTTGTTCTATGAGTGAGACCTAATTTACAGCTTTAGTCTAAAAGTCTCATACTCACCAATTCTCACACAGATCAATCTCTTCCCAAAGCCAACTCTCAGGGAACTGAGTACGTGACACGATCTCATCAGAGTCTGTATAATAGTCATCTTCATCATCACCTGTTGTAACAGATAAAAACAATAATACATCAGATAATGATAATCAAATAAATGTCATCATTATTCTCTCTGACGACTATCCACTTTCATTATTATCCACAATTACTACTTTCCAAAGTACCCAAGATTCAAAATACCAGTATCAATCGCTGCCATCGGATTCATGCAAGCTGCTTTGAAACAATCTTTATTGAATAAAGCACTATTGACTTGACTTAAATTTGGAAAAATGGACATGGCAGTTGTGAGAGTGCCACCTACAGTTGAGGGAACATCATGAAAACACTGTATAGCCTTTACATTTTGTGACAGAGTACTGCACGAGATGGTAGAGCCACCTAGAAGCTTAAGATATTGCAACAACCTTAATCAATTACTACTTACTGCGAGCCAGAATCATCTCCTCCTCTTCTGTCTTCATGTTTTTGCGGGTTTCCATCTCTTTGCAGCAGTGCAGGAAGGCCTTTCTGCACTCTGGCCCGTCTACGATGTAGGTGGCTCTTCGTTCACAGGTGTAGCCGAGTTTATTATCCCTCATCCCATCAAAGCAGCACTGCTTCAGTTCACCAGAGTATTGACCAGCTGAGAAAATCATGAACAATGACAGGAGTAGGAGAACATGAGAACTACTGGAGGGAAAGACAGAATTTCCTAAAGGCTCTGGATCTTTAACACAGTAAAAAAAAAAAAAAAAACCTTTTCTGATTTGAATGGCAAGGGTAAAAACGGAGTAAATTCCAGTTCCTCACCCAGTGTACTAGTGATCTGCAGGCGACTCTCAGCTCTTCGTTTTCTCTTTTCAGGGACGGGACATCCAGGCACTAGAGGACGATTCATTTTAATAAATTAGCATATTGTACAAAATGATGTAAAAAAAAAAAAACAAGAGCAGCAAGAGAGACACAAGGAACCAGACAACTCAAGTGAAATTTATAGTGCAACATTCAAGACCTGACCAAAGGATGCAACCCTTGGGAATCTCTGTTCAGTAAAAAAAAAAATTACTTATTCTGGTGTTGGTTCCTCCTGCAGTGTGTGACTCAAACATCAGACCTGAATCACTGAAAACCCCCATACTGTCCCTTCCACCTCCTGCCGTACAACCGGTGTCATGCTTCTCTATGACGTCCCAGATCTAGAGGTGCAAAAAAGACACCAGTTACATGCGGTTTAAATCAGAGATGATTGTGCCATGACGTCTGAAGAAGGTCCTTCACCTGAGTCTGAGTGAGTCTGTTCTTGTTCAGGACTTGCACAGCCTTGTCAACCACCACCAGCCCAACTCTAGCTCCAGGATCTCCACTTATCTGCAGCGTGACCTCATCTCCTGTGCCATAGGTATTCATCTTGTTCTTCACCTGAAGCTCGAGCTGTTAAAACGAGAGACACTGAATCAGATCTAGTTGATTAGCACATCAACTATTTCTTGTGATGGTTGACCCACCGTTCCCATGCACGTGTCCTTCACGTCGACCCAGACTGAATCAGACACCACCTCAGACGAGCCCACATGATAATAAGCCAAAAAGCGGAAGGACGGCACCATGTCTTTGGTTACAGGTAGAGACAGAGTCACTAGAGCTTGTCCTTTCCTCTTAAATCTGTTTGCTTGAACAATCTGACCTTTACTTAAGATCTGGAAATGAGACAGACAAGTATAAAAGACTTAAGCACTTTGTATAGTTTCAAACACAAGCTGTGGTAGAAATAAAATATTGATGTAATTGATGCATGGGTAGAACTGGTACATTGGATGAATAACAAATAACCATAATCTTTACCATGTATGTGTAATCTTGATCTTTGACTCCTGGACTTTGTCCAGTGTTGAGATTGACTTTCATTTGATCACCGATCTGAAGCTCTGCAGAATCAATGCCGATGTGAAAGTAGTTATTGGAGCTGTCTTTGGGAATGTAAGCAAGAGCCGTCATCGTCTTCTCTGCCTGCTGTTCGTTGCTTAATTGTAGATCTTTGGTTTTTGCCTGAAATAAATGAATAAATAAATTCCTGCTGATTCACAGCAACTACAAATAACTGTAAACAAACAGCTTGTTCTACATTCATTCAATGCCTTACAGTGATTTTTAGCTCGGAAGATCCTCCTAGAGTGTTGACGGTTACTTTTGCAATACCATTGGCTGTTGTTTGACCTCTGACCTCTCCAGGACTGACCTCCACTTCCACTTTTTCAGCAGGCGTCTGATCAGGATTTGTTACATAGACCTTTTATAAAACCAAGACCAAACAAGAAAAATCATCAGCCATCATCATGTCTTTTAATATATCGTTAAAATGGTTCCTCAGTTCCTATAACCCATCAGGCACATAAAGTCAGTATTTTATACCGAGATATCGAAGGGCATCCCAGGTTTGAAGAATTGTGGTGTTTTTTTGAAGTGGATGGTGTACGGTGACGTCACGATCTGAATGCCTCTCCTTTCTGCTTCCACCATTTCACTGCCTGAAACACACACACACACATACATACAGTATACAATCACACACATGCATGTAAACATACAGATGTACAGTATCTGTTGAGTCTTACCACTTTCTGTTAAAAGACTGACTGAAACATAGATTGATCGTCCAACCAGCTGGTTAATGTTTGGAAAGGTGTTAGTGATCATCTTCCTGGTCAGTTCTGCCTCTCCTTCTCCTTCCCTTATCTATTCATATATGAGAAAGACAATAACATTCGTCTACAAGACAAGGTAAAACTGTATTTAATGTTTTAAGTCGTCCTCTAGGTGAGGAGAAATGAGATTGATCCCAACTTGTAAACTGTTTAATTTCTCTCACCTCAACTTTTTGCAAAGAGGTATCAATACTTGTTTTCTTCTCACCGTCCATCACACCAAACATCACAAACGCATTTCCTTCCACCTTCTGTCCAAACAGATACCTATTAAAGCATATACAATTTCAGCTGTAAAAACTGAATGGTGACGACGACTGTGCTTGATCCACATCCACTTTCAAAACAATACATTTCAGTCATATTAAACAATACTGTATATCTGAGTTGAATAAAAAAAAATTAATGTTAACACATTTTATCGCACCCTCTCTCTCTCTCTCTCTCTCTCTCTCTCTCTCTCACTCGCGCACACACACACACACACACACTCCAGCATTGCAATCTTGACATCGCAGCCTGTTCATTATGCGGTCACACCAAACGCGAATAGAGCGTCAAATTCGCGACTAGTTCGACGCTATGTCTAATGGTGTGTTCACACCGAACGCGAATTAAATTATTTGCGTGAGTAGATTACATACAAAGTCAATGCAAAGACGCAAATAGACGCATCATTCGCGCCGGGCGTTGCGAATGACGCGAATTGGGCAACGCGTTTGCCGCGAATGTCTTCCGCGCAAGTTGAAAAATTTTAACTCGAGCGAATGTTCAAGCATCTAACTAGACGCGTATTTGACGCTCTATTCTCGTTCGGTGTGAACACACCATAAAGCGAATAGGACGCGCGTATAAAGCCAACGTTTGAAGTGAACGCGCGTTCAGAGCTAAGCCGATGGTACAGATTATGTGTCCCTAAAGAACCCGTGTATCTAACAGTAGTTCCGCATTACATTAATTAATTTGAACGCGAGTTTTATTTATTTTTATACCGTGTATTCTCCGTGTAAATTCGTGCACCGAACCGTGACGCCCGTACCGTTTCGGTTCAATACGAATACATGTACCGTTCCACCCCTAATATATATATATATATATATATTTACTTACTCAACAATGGTGACAAAAGTAATATTCAATTAGGAAAAGGAAATTACTAAGACAATTCAGATCATAATTTATTCATACCGCAAACCATGATGGGAGCCATGAATGAGTTTTGATTGTTGGCACCCAGATTGCACTGCAACATGCTTTATTATTGTCACCATTATTGAGAATCACAGGCTGATTCTTGATGCCTGTGTGTCCAAATAAATGTCTTTTGATCAGAACAACTTATAAGAAATATTTTGGATCATATTGAAAATACTGAAAATAGTAAAGTGTAGAATCACAGGCTGCTGTAATCATCAAGGTAAACCTAACTCTCTAAATGAGTTCATTGATTCAGGTCAAATGATGATTATGCCAAAACATAACCAACACCACCTGATCATCTTTTATTGTTGTTTACCTGGCAGTTATAACTTAGTTACAGCAGTCAAACAAAATCTAACATTAAGGATCAAGAGCCCAACTAAAGTAAATACTGATCACAATAATGGTGACTACATGTGATTTTTCTCCTTCAGTGATTCTGCTTGTTAACATCAGGTGTCTTCAATAATGGTCAATCATCACTCAAATTGGCTCATTAACTTTAACACTTCTTCAGTGTTAATTTAATACTCATTTTAACACTTTAACACTCTTGAGTCTGGAGCCAAATGAAATCCCAGGAGAGTTCATTTAACACTGGAGTTTTTGCTGTGGACAGCAACAGTGTCGGCCTACATCTGTACTGTGTAGAATCCACGTGTACCAGATGTGGGCCGACAGACACTATGTTGCTGTCTGGGTTAGTTGCTTTGGAAGTTATACTATCTCAAACACACTGAATCACAGGACCATGTTTTGGTTGCTCATTGTACATTATTTCAGTTAACATACACATCTATTTTAAATCAGTGTGTTCACACAGCATAGATTTATTTTCAATACAATGAAGCAAGAACCTATGTTGTCTTACTTGGCTTCAATGTCGACTGTCAGACTCTCGTCACCCACATAGAAGAATGATCTACTGGGTTTTAATTTCACTTCAAATGTTGGAAGCACTATAAACCAAACCAGAGAATAGACAAATAAATAAATAATAAATTATTGTAGTTATCACATTTTTACACAACATACAATTTTCTGACACACGTCTTACCATATTCTTTGACCTCAAAGTCAGCAGTAAATTCCTTCTGAGGGGTATTGGCGAACTGTGTGACAACCTTCCATATCCCAAGACTGAAAAATACAGAACACATCCAGAAACATACACGTCTGATTTCATAACATCAAAAAGATGATAACTGGCCATGAACAGGGTTTTGCTGCTGTTTATTGATAAATCATTATCCAGTATTATCCTGAAGTACACACCATAGACCAGGGTTCCTCAATTAAAAGTTATGTTTATTGTAAGCATGCACTGCAGTTATGTCTGCTGCTTTAAATGCTTGAGGTTTTTAAAGCAGGGTGGATTCTGTTTGGCTGTCAACCAATCAGAATCAAGAAAGCACGGAAAGTATTTTTTTTATAATCAATCTTTTAGTCTATGCAGTTTTCAGTTGATGAATGAACAGAACTTTATAGAGCGCCTCACATCAAATAAATCACATTAAGCTTTGAGCTTTTTTTTAATGATATTCAAACAATAAATACTGTTTTGGCACTCTTTAATGTGGTTTAATTTGTAGATCACTGTTGCCTCAGATCAAGTGAAGCTGCAGCACGGAGCACATTTTTCCACTTTACTATTAGTTACGGCACGAATGAACTTCAGAAGGTATGTCAAAAGATATGGTACAACTTACCAAAATCCGTATCATGTCTCATTTAATCGCTCGATCAGTGTTTCAACCACGGAAAGACGTCAATAAACCACTTTGAGAACATTAGACAGTGTGCAATTTAACAATGACGCTGTTTTAGAATTATCAGCGATTTCACGCCAGCAACATGATTACAGTGATGTTACACTGACAGAAACATTTGACTTCAGTGCAGACCCTCGGACCAAACATTTGTCTCTCGTGGGCCACCTATTGAGGAACCCTAGCATAGACAGATAAAATGTGTGGTCCATTCACTCAGGTTTAATATCTCAGTCCTGTCAGCGTTTCACACACCTGGCAACCTCAGGAATGGCATATTTTCCGGACTTCATCCCTTTCACTGGATATATCTTATCTGATGAAACTGTGATGCCTTGTGGATTCTTAAGAAACAGAAATCAGTATCAACACTGTGTTTTCTGAGATCGTCAGTCACATGCTCATTACAGCTGATGTCACAAATGAATGAATATGTGAATGTGTGTGCATGTGAACCTATAAAATTGTGTACCATGATCTCCACCGTGACTCCAGACTGACTGAGGGGTTTCAGGTTGGGTGTCAGAGAGAAAATCCTGTATTGAACTGAAAGGGAGATCAAAACAAAAAAATGAAATACTTTGTTTAAAAGTTTTAACTGCTTGTTATTTAAATTTTTACGTATTTGAGACACTTGCCATTTAGTGTGTAAAAAAAATTATACCATAAACAACTTCTTTACTATGCATTATTATAGCCATTATAGCAACATAAAATGCAATAGGCTTGTAACGGCTGAATAAACGATAAAACTAACCTTTAACGGCATAGCTTGTATTCCAACATATACACATGCTTTTTTTTTTTTTTTAGCTTGAGACGGCTTGAGGCTAAATGCAATTTATTATCACTGTCTATTCCAACATACACTCACCTAAAGGATTATTAGGAACACCATACTAATACTGTGTTTGACCCCCTTTCGCCTTCAGAACTGCCTTAATTCTACGTGGCATTGATTCAACAAGGTGCTGAAATCATTCTTTAGAAATGTTGGCCCATATTGATAGGATAGCATCTTGCAGTTGATGGAGATTTGTGGGATGCACATCCAGGGCACGAAGCTCCCGTTCCACCACATCCCAAAGATGCTCTATTGGGTTGAGATCTGGTGACTGTGGGGGCCATTTTAGTACATTGAACTCATTGTCATGTTCAAGAAACCAATTTGAAATGATTCGAGCTTTGTGACATGGTGCATTATCCTGCTGGAAGAAGCCATCAGAGGATGGGTACATGGTGGCCATAAAGGGATGGACATGGTCAGAAACAATGCTCAGGTAGGCCGTGGCATTTAAACGATGCCCAATTGGCACTAATGGGCCTAAAGTGTGCCAAGAAAACATCCCCCACACCATTACACCACCACCACCAGCCTGCACAGTGGTAACAAGGCATGATGGATCCATGCTCTCATTCTGTTTATGCCAAATTCTGACTCTACCATCTGAATGTCTCAACAGAAATCGAGACTCATCAGACCAGGCAACATTTTTCCAGTCTTCAACTGTCCAATTTTGGTGAGCTCTTGCAAATTGTAGCCTCTTTTTCCTATTTGTAGTGGAGATGAGTGGTACCCGGTGGGGTCTTCTACTGTTGTAGCCCATCCGCCTCAAGGTTGTGCGTGTTGTGGCTTCACAAATGCTGTGCTGCGTATCTCGGTTGTAACGAGTGGTTATTTCAGTCAAAGTTGCTCTTCTATCAGCTTGAATCAGTCGGCCCATTCTCCTCTGACCTCTAGCATCAACAAGGCATTTTCGCCCACAGGACTGCCGCATACTGGATGTTTTTCCCTTTTCACACCATTCTTTGTAAACCCTAGAAATGGTTGTTGCGTGAAAATCCCAGTAACTGAGCAGATTGTGAAATACTCAGACCGGCCCGTCTGGCTCCAACAACCATGCCACGCTCAAAATTGCTTAAATCACCTTTCTCTCCTATTCTGACATTCAGTTTGGAGTTCAGGAGATTGTCTTGACCAGGACCACACCCCTAAATGCATTTAAGCAACTGCCATGTGATTGGTTGATTAGATAATTGCATTAATGAGAAATTGAGCAGGTGTTCCTAATAATCCTTTAGGTGAGTGTATATTACACATGCTTTTTTTTTTATTTAGCTTGAGACGGCTTGAGGCTAAATGCAATTTATTATCACTTGTCTGCTTTTTGCCTTTCCAAAAAGCAAATGCAGCCATTTTGTGGAACAATCCAGAGGCCATTCGGACTCCATCTGTCCTATATTTAATTGCCAGTATATATGTGCAAAACTACACAATCTTTATGATGTCATGCTGATGTAACAAATTTAAAGTTCACATTGTGTGTTAATTCACTCTATATTTTCCATGTTTTCAGCACTGATTCGTACCTGTGCTAGCAGGCGTGTAGATGGGCTTGTCTGTCTGTACAAATATATATCCAGACTGGAATGAGACCATGATCACTTTCTCCAGGATTTTGGAAGGAAAATGAGCTTGTAGATACACATACTGCTTCTCCAGAGGATCAGCAGAGAAATAGTTCTGATCATCAGGGATCTAAAGAACAGAAAATGAATTAGTCCTTTGGAAATTTTGACGAAAAAAAAAGTAACAATTTACAAACTGAATTGTACAAGTGCAGATGATGGATCACACACTTACACAAGCAAAAAAAAAAAAAAAAAAAAGTCAAAGTGACATCACCTTTATATCTGTAAGTAACTGGTAATTGTTTTCTGCAGTCAGTGTCACTGTTTTGGACAGTATCTCCTTGTCTTTCTGTGGGTGGTTATTCACTATGATCTTTACATCAAAAGTTCCTCCAGAGTAATCCTGAGCCTCCACAAACACATTCTCTGAGGAACCCACTCTCAGCAAATTAGGAGCTGACAGAACAAACCTGAGGAGATCAAATCACAGCGTTTGACATCTTAAAAATAGATTATTAGTAACTCTATGAGCAAACGGTGTTTAATACTCACAGCGGGTCACACAGTGTGAGGAGGGGTGAGGAGAGAAGAACAACAGTCAGACACAGCAGCTTCACCTCCATCGTGTCTGTTTGTGTGTGTGTGTGTGAACCTGCAGCAGTTCAGATTTATACCCGCCGCCTCTGTGACCCTTACAGTCCAAACTGCTCTCTCTCACTGACACCCCTCTTCCCATCTATTAGGCAACACGTTTGGGAAGGGGAGGATCTTGGAAAGATTTTTTTGCAGGATTTCCAAAATTACGAAAGAAGCGCCAATAATTGCACTTAAAATATTGTGTTTATAAGTATTTGTGTGTGATGAAAAAAATAATTATTATGATGAAGCTGTGTCTCAATATCATGTGCATTTGTCAGCTACCATTATTTATTTCTTAAATAATCTTCATTATGGTTGCAATTCATGAACCCTCTGAACTATAGGCATAATTGCCTCCCTTAAAGAAGATACAGATTGCATTCCAAAAGTCCCAAATAATAATATTCATTAGATAACTGTAAGTGTCAGCTGTAATGTATGTCATTGTGTGTTCATGAGTCTGAAATGCACTTTACTCATTTAACATAGATGCAACTACTGTGAAAAAAGGCATGTTTCAGTGTGTTTGGTCTTTCCTTTCTTCAAAGAAAGCAGTAGAAACAGGGATGTGATTAAACTCTTAAAGAGTTTGAGAGTTCTCAGCAGTGCATTTCAGATTTCCCATAAATCATGCTTCATGTGTAAATACAACCTTTGGTAAATTGGCAGCTGCTCTATTGATCTTTCAGGGGTCGGGAGAACTATTGAACAGTATACTTTCATGAAAATGTGCTCAAGCTGCTCTGGAATGAGGTTTGTTGACGAATGTTTTGCTCAACATTTAACTTTTGTAACACTGGCAGGAACAAAATAACTGGCAGGTGTAGAACGGATCTATGTGCAGGGTTTATTATTGCAAACAAACGAAACATAAAACATTAAGTGCTAAGGAACACAAAGCACCAGGGAACATGAGGATCAAAAGAACACAGACCATCAACATGTACAACAACGAACAAGGAAACACACAGGCTATAAATACACAAGACAACAAGGGACAGGTGAAGGCAATTAGTTGCTATGGAAACAAACAAGGCTAACTATAGAAACTAATAAGACAGGCAAAGAAACAAAGGAACTAAACACAGGAAGTCAGAACACAGGAACAATTGCAAACAAATATACTTCAAAATAAGAGTCAGGGAAACACAAGAACAGTATTCATGACAACTTTATACATTAACTAGCAACATTATCTTTCCCTCAAAATGCATCTATATTCTTTGTAGTCTACTACTACTACATGAGAATAAATGTTAATGATATTTTAGAATGTGCTCCAGGGAGTAACATAAAAAGTTAGATGTTGTAACTCTACTAGACCCAGCTTATTTCTATTGTCACCAACTAAATGAGCAACAGCACATGACCACCACAAACTTCCAAAGTTGAACAGTCAAACATATACATACACTCTGTTTGGATAATGTAAAGTTAACATTCATTATCATAAAATTAACAAAAAGGTAAGTTAAAATAAAAGGTGATCATGTTAAGCTCTGAAGAAATGTATTTTGTAATAATAAATTAAAAAAATTAATTGTAAAGAAATATTACTTAGATTAGTTTAAGATTAGTTTTAAGAACCAAATAGTCCAGTAGCTACTGCGTAGTAATATAACAAGAGAAACACTGCAAGTGCAAGAACTTTAACACATTTATAGGCTGTAGGCTACTATGAGTATTAATCTGCAATATAATTAGGTAGCCTATGTCTTCCTCAATTTTTGAGTTAGGGGTTTGGTGTTTTTCCCAGCAATGTTTTCGTTCTTGTTTTAACTGAACACCCCTGAACATGTTTTATCAAAGGTTTTATGTTTACCATAAAAGTAAACGCAAATTGCTCTAAAATCCACACCAGATGGCATAAACAACAACTCTGAAAAAGACAAGCGCGACACCGCGGAGGAATACAAAGATATGGAAGTAGCACAGGTAAGTCTATGAGATCGTAAATTCCTGAAACGCGTGGTGGTCATCAACCCTGTAGCCTACTTTGCGAATTCTGGTCACATTTAGGCTATCATTCCCTCTTCACTAATCTTCACCCGGCTTATGGAAGTATATTTTGTATTCTAAAAAACGGACAATTTGTGACAGACAGATAATTTTACGGCTGGATCAGCAATTCCGCCACGACTTTCGAAAGCTGGACAAGCAATTTTTTAATTATTAATTTTTGACAGTTTTGAAATGGGATGTGGCGATGGCCTTTGATTTACCAATGTAATGACAAAAAAAAGTATGTTTAGTAGGCCTACAATCTGCCTGGTACTGGAATTGCATGAGTTCCTAGGCTAGCCTACGTGCCATTATTATTTAGGCAGTTTAAGGATGAGTTTGTGTGAGCGCGCGCTTTGGAAATAAAAAGTGGGCGTTGAGATTCTAGAGTGAGTTTCACCTGAGTTTCGTGAGTGGAACAGAACAGGTACAGCGAGTTCACGCGCTTCCGGACGCACAGGTGAGAGAATCGCCGTCATGCGCGCGCGGATCAAACGAGGCTGCGTCGCGCTCTTCGCTTTCACGCTGAGGTCGTGAACGTTTTTGGATTAACAATAATACTATTAACAACAATTCCTCCACTGGATGCCACAACACTTTCTCAGGTGAGTTTAGTTTCTCTTTCAATCGGATGGTTATTCCTCTTACTCAGTGTGTTTTGAGAACAGCTCGTCAAACCGGCTGCGCCTCCGACATTCCGTGACTGACAGTCAGTCATCACGAGGAAATAAAGCTCATTTATCCTCAGCCCTGTCTCCTTAAAAATACATTTATCTCCAGGTAATAGTAATCCTTACACTTGAAATCGCTTTTTAATACATTAAGTAATTTGTAAAGAATATGAATCATTATATAGCTACCAGGTATCAAATTACAATACCTTGATATCAAGGGAAATGTTTTGACGTGCGTAAATGATGTAAAGTGATAGTGAGGTAAACTAATGTGTATACTTTAACTTTTAATGTAAAGCTGCCTGCTTGACTTTAGTTTTGTTGGTGCCTGAGTATAAATCTGCCAGGATCACTTCATAAAGTCAGTTGAGCTCTGAAATGGTCATTACATAATTCATACACTAGTTTTTTCATAGTTTTGATGACATTCTAAGATAAGAGTAAAAAAAAAAAAAAAACGATATAGGCTAACACCTGAACATTGGTGCAATGGTAGTTTGATTAATAAAATAAATATTACAATCATGGTAGTGACCAAAAAGTGTTATGATGGTTGTATAAATTGTATGGTACTTTTCAAGGTGTGTTCACCCAAAATGTAAATTCTTTAATTTTACTCATCTTTGGGTCATTTCCAAACACAATAAAGGATGAATTGTTGCCTACTGGCCAAAATGATTGGGCTCTGAGGCTTTCAAGCTCCATAAGGATGCAAAAATACCATAACATAAAACTCATATGCTGTATTCCAAACCTTCTGAAGTCAAAGGTGGTTTTGTTTGAGCAACAGACAAAAGTTTGAGTCATTTACTAAAAGTCACATGGCTTTGAAACGCTGGGTTTTTGTGGATGTCCTTGTAATTGTAGGTCAGTGTTCTCCCAGACTAATAATTAACCTCGTCAGTCCACAGCCGAACAGTGGACCCTTTTTACACTATCTTCTCATCTGTTAATGTTTGTGTATTGATGTCACATCTCACCTCTATCTCGCTCTTCCTCTATAGGTTCGAGTCTCCTTCCAAAATGACCACGGTGTAGTCACTATTAACCAGGTACTTTGCCTCTCGCGTGCATACGGATGCTCACATCTTGTGTTATCTCTAACAGACACACCCTTGGAACACAAAAAAAGTGCATCTATAGATATTCTCAGTCTGTGTTTGTTTTTACATGTGCGAGTGTGGAGCATCATGAGTTGGGCGAGCGTGTCGGGCTTGTTCATGCCGGTGTTGTTCCTGCTGGCTCTGGCCGTGGTTCTGTTCTCATGCATGCTTCGTAAAAGGAGGCAGGCGGAGGGATCGTACCAGCCCAGTGCAGAAGAGCAGAAACAAGCCAAGAACAACAGAGCTGAGAAACCCGGCCTCACACTCCCACTCCCCAAAGAGGAGAGACTGATCTGAACACAACCCTCAAAAGATGCTCAGGTGAAACCACACACCACTGGTAAACCTAAACAGAACTTTCATTGTAATGGACCATTGCTGTTTAAACGGAGTCCGATCGCCACGCCAGACGCACATTTGTGGAGTCATAAAAGACGAGGAACATCTGAAATGGTGGTGGATATTTATTCAGCGTTTTTGACTGAGATGCGAGAATGCTTTCACTCCCTAATGCACTGTTATAGTTGATAAATGAATTCAAGTATGCCTTAAAAGAGGTCGGGGTATCTGAAGACATTTACCTAAAGTAAAGAAGTCAGATGATCTACATGGATGGCCAAACCAGTTTTTGTTTACTTTATCTGTACTCGCTTTAAGTTTACTCACCTGCGAGTCCATGTGATGAAGACACCAGCTTTACCTCTAAAATAGATTAGCATTACCGTATTTAAATGTCCACATAGGAACTTTGTTGCAGCTCTTTCAAAGGTAGAGAGAAAAAATGTATATTGCACTTGGCCAAATATTGTTTTGTGTTATGTTTGCATTTTTGTAACGTATCAATACTAGGATGTTGTTGATCATAACAATGTGATGAAGTTAATGTGTAAATGTGGTTGATTCATTAAAATGCATCTTTGGGTTAAAAACCTCATCCTTGATTCAGAGCATGTCATTCAGAGCTCGAAATGAACTTTTTTACTTTGTAGCACTGGTGCGCCCAACTTCAAAAAGTTAGGAGCACCAGCAAAAATTTAGGAGTACCCACCAAATTTGACGTTTAGCTCTGCCAGTAGAGCGGAACGACCGGCAACATCCTGGCGATTAAAAGCCTTAATAATCGAACCTGATTTGTTTGCCACACACTTGTCCCTACATATTTTTTTTGTGCTTGGCCGGCACTCTCTCCGTGTTTAACCAAGTTCTCGCGCTTAAAATGTATTGTTTCAGTTGCGAACGCTGTGTTACCTGCAAAACTCTGTCCCACAGGCTTTACAGTGAACGCAAAGCATTGAACCATCAGCATAGCGGAGCCACTCGAAATCTTTTAGCCACTCTCTCCGAAAGCTGAATGAGTCTTCTTTTCAGCTGGTGGATCCACATTAAAGGGATAGTTCACTTTGAAATTAATTTTTGATATGTTTTAGCTTACCTCAAGGGCATCCAAGATGTAGGTGTCTTTGTTTCCACAGTATTTTCAATTTTGATATTTTTAGGTCAAACCGTTCTTGTCTGTCAGTCATATAATGCAGTTCTATGGTCACCACCTCAAAGAGCACGCACAGAGAAGTCCAAATTAAACATGATTTAATGACTCGTAAATGTAAGTACACATTGATGGCCTAAGACACGAAACGAGCGGTTTGTGTGAAAAAACTAACAGTATTTCTATCGTTTTTACCTCTTGTAACGCACAGACCGAAGCGCCGGCGCCCTCAGATCACTTGGATGTGGCTGTGGTTACAATAGGTAAAAAGGATATAAATACTGTTCGTTTTCTCACACAAACCGCTCGTTTCGTGTCTTAGGCCATTAATGTGTACTTACATTTACGAGTCATTAAATCATGTTTATTATAAATGACTAACAGACAAGAAAGGTTTGACCTAAAAATATCAAAATTGAAACTACTGCTGAAACAAAGACACCTACATCTTGGATGCCCTTGAGGTAAGCTAAAACATACCAAAAATTAATTTCAAAGTGAACTGTCCCTTTAACCACATCACCAACTCCAGGATTATTTGTGACTTCAGGTGATGGCTTACAAAAGAAATCTATCAGCGTTCGTTTCATCTTCTCTCTTATTCAGCCTTTTAAATTTTGCGCGGAAGTCCGCTCCCTGTCACGTGACAACGGAGCGCAGTGAAAGGGAGTGGGAGTGATTGACAGCTAATATTAACCAGTCTAAAATCTGCTTTAAAGTTAAGAATGTAAGGATGAAGTTTGATTGATGTAACGTTGGATAGTATGATGGACACCGTGCACCACAACCATTATTTGCACTCGCACAAATGCTCCCAAATATATTTTTTAGGTCGCACAGATTAAATTTCAGGAGCATATGCGACTAAAATGGTCACAATTTCGAGCCTTGTCATTTGAGATGCCATGTGGACCGTTTCTGTCAATGTTTGCTCTCTGATAAGCCTTTTATAAATGATTAAAGATATTTGGATGAAAGGGGTTGGACTTGGTTTATTTGTCAGTACTGGCATTGATGACATTAGTTACTTTTTTAAAGTTAATAATTAAAAATCTAAATGGACCCAATTTGATGCGTGTTTCTGGTCTTAATCTGAACGATTCATCCGTTTACATTATTCCAAAGGGGGAAAAAAGTCCCTCACCAAAAAGTAATAACCTGAAGCTCAAGTTTCAACCAACGGGTACATGAGGCGTTTCATGAGGCGAGTGTCCTTCCACAACCTCAGAGTCTAGTACTGAATGGCAACTTTTCACAATCCAATCAAAACCCAGTGCATAAAATCAATTTGATCTTGTTTGACTCAGAAACGTTGCTTTACAAAAATCTAAATGTGTTGCAAGTGTCTTTTCATGTTGACTCAAGTAGTATTATTTATAATCGTTTTACTCCGATACACTTGATTTATGATGCTCTAATGTTCGAATCGCTTCTTCAGCTCGGAGACCTTAATGGGAGCCGGGTCTTGCTCTTCTGGAGTCGATGTAACGGGTGATTTTGTACTTTGTTCTTCAGTCTGCACACCTGTTTTTGACCCCACATTGATTTTGAAGGTTCTGATGGGAGTTTTCATGGAGATTTCCCTTCCTTGGGAAGCAGAGGAGTCAGTCAAGGACCTAGACCGTAACAGAGCTACGGTAGACGAGACTTTCGGTGACGAAGGTTCAACACTTTTCTCCTCTGGCTCTTCTTCTTTGTCTATCTCTACGTTGAGGACGACAGCGGAGGGGATTCCTCCATTTGCAGGTCCATTTGACCCCAAGTCATTGGTCGTCTTGTGCTCTTTCTGATGTTCCTCTTCTTTGTCAGGTTGTGTCTCTGTCCTCCCTTCAACTATTGTCTCGGTATGCAAGCTTTCCTCCATTGTCTTTGTTTTCTCTTCAACTATTGTCTCGGTATCCAAGCTTTCCTCCATTGTCTCTGTTTTCTCTTCAACTATTGTCTCGGTATCCAAGCTTTCCTCCATTGTCTCTGTTTTCTCTTCAACTATTGTCTCGGTATCCAAGCTTTCCTCCATTGTTCCATTCATTTGTCCATCTTTTTGCAAACATTGATCCTCTTGCACCTCTTGAGAAACCACTTCAGGAACCAGAGAAGTATCTTCTAAACTTTGTAGGTCTGAACACAGACTTTCCCCTAACACGTTTAAGTCCTTCTCTAATACGTTTAGCTCATTTTCCGGCCTGTCAATCATGGCATCAGACTCCTCCCTCTTGCCGCCAGGCTCCTCCTCCTCCCAGCTCATAAGACTTCCGCTGTTTCCAAAAGACTGGCTCAGACTCTCCTGACTTGGTGTGGTGCAACTCTTCTGAAAGAGAAATTAAATGGTGAGAGTGTGTGGACAAGTGTATGTGCTTCTCCTTTTCCACCGACAGGTTCCCGATGTTAGAGCGGACGGCTCTGTTCGACTATTTCAAGTTTTCAAGAAACAGCAGTCGGGTAACACATCACTTAATTTGAGAAGCATTTCTTGTTTATGTTGTTTTCACGCTGCAAAGCCACTTTGGTTTACCCGTTCATCTAATGTTTTAAATGATTACTATGCATTTTAGCCGTTAAATATTTAACCTTTATGGTACAGTGTAGCCATATTGTTTTCCTTCACTTTTTTTAACTTTCAGAAAAACTACAACATAATGCATTGTTGGAAATAAAAGTAACCAGTAATATGCTGTTTTAAGCCACATTACTTTGAGATGAAATTAGTTACTATGATTATTACATTTATTTGAAAGTGTTTACCAATTTTAACACATGAATTGTATTATTTTTAGACAAAAACCAACACGAGGAATCAGAGAGCTATTACACTTAACAACAGTGAGGAGTTGTGCTATATGACAACAATTCCCTAATTCATTTACATATTTTGTTATTAGAGCTATTTTATTCCATAAATCACGTAGGGAAAATATTCCACTGTTAGAAGAACATATGATGCATAACATATAGGGGTTAAACACCTGGTTATGGGATAAAGACTGTAAAATGTGCTCTTATAAGCTAAGACTGTAATGTGGCGTGTTTGTTGCAGGTTGACAGACGCATCGTTTACAAGGATCGTGTGAGAGGATCCAGGCCTTACATGTCTGATGAAGTCGCTGCTGTCGGAGCTGAAGAGGTCGAGACTGCGCGTGCCGTACAGTAAACCCGGCTCTCTGGAGCTCTGAGCGCTCAGGGTGTCGAAGATCTCCCCGAGCAGGTCCATCTCCTCCGGGTCAGCCAAGAGGGAGAGCTCATCCTCGTCCTGTAAGTCGCTGGTGCCAGAACACTGCTCAGCACTTTCTGTTACACTGCAAAGGGAGATGCGTTTTAAAGAGACACATTAAAGGGATAGTTCTCGCAAAAATGAAAATTAGGCCATGATTTACTCACCCTCAAGCCATCCTAGGTGTATATATCATTATTCTTTCAGACGAATGCAATCGGAGATATATTAAAAAAATGTCCTGGCTCTTCCATGCTTTATAATGGCAGTGGATGGTTGTTTCTGTTTTGAAGTCCATAAAAGTGCAACTTAAAGGCAGTGATAGTTACATTAGAGTTTTACAGAGAGTGTTTCACAAAATTAATCTTGTAAAGTAACTGTTTTTTGTTAAACATTGCTTAACAAAAGTACGATGCAAATTATGAAATTTTACCTTAATTTTTGTTTGGCAGACGCTGTTTCCAGTCATTGACCGTTTCTATTTAAACGATCTTTAACCGTTATTTCATTAATGGTAATTGTTGGGCACCATGTGCTGCCTAGCATTTCACAGTTGTTGTTTTTCATGTTTTTTTTAAGTGTATTTTTTAAAGTGTAAATTTCCCCAACTACACTAAGAGACTAATAAAGAGTTAAGATAACTTTTAAAGAATTATACAGGGGCTTAATGGGTTCTTTGTATGGCATTGGTACTATAAACATGTAGCACCACAACCACCCCAAAGAACCACACTGGGCTTAACTGGTTCTTTATATAGCATCATGCGTTTGTGTAAGAAAAAATATCCATATTTAAAACTTTATAAAGTCTGCTGATATTTACGCTACGCCATGACACACTCGCTACTTCTAGCGCCACAAGTTGTGCATTAGGCGTAAGTGGAATCTGTATGTTCGTTTGACCGGAAGTTAGTTATTTTACTTTATAAAGTTTTAAATATGGACATTTTTTTGACATGAATGCATGGCTTTGCTTCAGAAGGCCTTTATTAACCCCCCAGAGCCATGTGGAGCACTTTTATCATGGATAGATGCACTTTTACAGAAACTGAAAACACAAACGGCCATTCGCTGCCATTATAAAGCTTGGAAGAGAAAGGACTTCTTTTTTAAAAATATATGTGTAAAATATGTGTATACGTCTGAAAGAAGAATGCCATATACACTAGGATGACTTGAGGGTGAGTAAATCATGGGCTTATTTTCATTTTTGGATGAACTACCCCCTTAAACGGCAAATCTTCATGCATGCGTTTCCTCTCCTCTCACCTGTCCTCATAGGTGTCGTCGTCCTCTGTCTGTTCCTCTGTGTCCTGTTTGCTGGGGTGTTTGCGTGCCGGCCTTCGTGGTCGAGACTGAAAAACAGCATATTAGAAAGTAAAGTGCATGTGCTGTACTGTGGATGAACACACGGTGGAGCCAAACTGCTGCAGTTTTCACACTCGGGTGAATTAAAGGATATTTGAAATGGATAATTTCCCAAGTTGCTGCCTTTGATGCAATAAAATATTAAAATCATGCATTGATTTTTGTATAGTATAAAGGTATGTAGACATGTGCTTTCAGGTGTCACTCACCCTGCCAAAGTGCTGTGTGATTGGTAGACGGTTCTGAAGGCAATCTGATTGGATGAGGCGATACGTGTGCGTCCCACACACAGACCCGCCCCGCTGTAGCATGTGGGATTCTGTCTGATCCTGAGAGGGAAAATCCAAAGGTCCAACGTAAACTAACGTGAATTAACTCGCTTATGTTGTGCACAAAGAGGAACCACATGCCATTTACAGAATATAAACTCACCTTTGATGACAGGAGGTTTTTCAGCCCAAATTTGCTTTGATATTTGCTCTGAGTGAGACATTAACAGATTTACGTCATGCATGTACAACACATATGGAAACTTTATTGATGGAGAATATGCAATATTTAATCATGCACAACAGCACATTATAAACGAATATAATGGAAATATGAATTACATTACCCTTCAGAAGTTCGGGGTCAGTATTTTTTTTCTTTTTTTTCTTTTTTTAAGAAATTATTCTTAATCTTAATTCATTATTCTTAATCATTAAATTGATTGAAAGGGACAGGACAGACATTTATAATGTTACAGAAGATTTCTATATTAGTTAATTAAATAAATGTTCTTTTCAACTTTCTATTCATCAAAGAATCCTGAAAAACAAAATGTATCAGTTTCCACAAGAATATGCAGCACAACAGGTTTCATTGATGATAATCAGAAATGTTTCTTGAGCATCAAATCCTCATATTAGAGTGATTTCTGAAGGATCATGTGACACTGAAGACTGGAGGAATGATGCTGAAATACAGCTTTGATCACAGGAATAAATTACACTTTAACATATATTCACATAGAAAACAGATATTTAAAATTGTAATACTTTTTCAGAATAATACGTTTTTTACTGCATTTTTCATCAAATAAATGAAGCCTTGGTGAGAATAAGAGACTACTTTCAAAAACATTAAACATCTTACCAACCCCGAACTTTTGAATAGTAGTGTACATGCAGTATTTACTCACTGCTTTGTTAGCCGTAGACTTCCACGTCACGATCAGCGCTCCTCCCCCTTTCTGTAAAGAGAGATTTATTTATTTTTTAAATCCAATTTTGTGTGAAAGCAGCTTTTGACAGTCCATTCTTCTTGTACGTTACTGTACTATATCTTTTTTTCAATTTCAAATGTATCATGTAGATATGCTGAAAACTCCCTGAGTGTGCCTTGTATGCACACTGCAGATATAGTAAGAGTAGTATGGTAGTCTTCCAGAGTCACATCTTGTTAATAGTTTGAGTAAAACGTACCTTTAAATTCCCCACCCACTGCCGACGCAGTTTAGAGGCGCCTGAGAGGAATGGGGAGCAGAGGGATGTTAAAACGAGCACTCAAGTAAACGAACCTGAATCTCTGATGGATGTAAATACACACCTGACGAAGCTCCGCACTGAAGCACCTCTTCCTCAAACGCATCCTCCGGCTCTTTGCCCTGGTTCAGCATTTCCAGCCGGCCGTCAATAAACTGAGAACAACATGAGATTATGATGGAAGATAATATGCAGTCACGTCATTGGTTACACATTTAAGTCTGTTGGTAAATATCTTTTTTAATCTGGCCCTCCATTGTAAAGTTCAAATTTAATTTCACATCAGGTTCGAATATGATGATGCACAAGTTGCCAAGCTATTGTATGACTTCAGAAAACTTTAGATATAACATTTGGCTTCATTTTTAAAGGTTTTATGGTGCTCTTTTTGCAGCTCAACGCAAAAGAGCAGCTTGAACAATCTTCAAAACTTGAAAGAAAGAAAAAGAAAGAAAGTGTGTTTTTTTTTAGAGTCCCAGTTATGCTATTTTTAAAGGTTCCTAATTTCCCTAAGAAGTCCACAACAGTAGGTTTACATGCAACCATCGTAAATTTTTTTTTTACATTTTTTCTTAATATACATTGCATCATCAGCACTTTTCTCACAATGTGTGAAACAGTTTGATCAAGGATTCGGCCTCTTTACACCCATCCTTACTGAGAGCCTGCTCTGATTGGTCAGATGGCCCAGGCTGATGTGATTGGTCTACTCTGCTCTGATTGGTCAGATGGCCCAGGCTGATGTGATTGGTCTACTCTGCTCTGATTGGTCAGATGGCCCAGTCTGTTGTGATTGGTCTACTCTGCTCTGATTGGTCAGATGGCCCAGTTTGCTGTGATTGGTCTACTCTGCTCTGATTGGTCAGATGGGCCAGTCTGTTGTGATTGGTCTACTCTGCTCTGATTGGTCAGATGGCCCAGTTTGCTGTGATTGGTCTACTCTGCTCTGATTGGTCAGATGGCCCAGTCTGTTGTGATTGGTCTACTCTGCTCTGATTGGTCAGATGGGCCAGTCTGTTGTGATTGGTCTACTCTGCTCTGATTGGTCAGATGGGCCAGTCTGTTGTGATTGGTCTACTCTGCTCTGATTGGTCAGATGGCCCAGTTTGCTGTGATTGGTCTACTCTGCTCTGATTGGTCAGATGGCCCAGGCTGTTGTGATTGGTCTACTCTGCCCTGATTGGTCAGATGGCCCAGTCTGTTGTGATTGGTCTACTCTGCTCTGATTGGTCAGATGGCCCAGTTTGCTGTGATTGGTCTACTCTGCTCTGATTGGTCAGATGACCCAGTCTGTTGTGATTGGTCTACTCTGCTCTGATTGGTCAGATGGCCCAGTTTGCTGTGATTGGTCTACTCTGCTCTGATTGGTCAGATGGGCCAGTCTGTTGTGATTGGTCTACTCTGCTCTGATTGGTCAGATGGCCCAGTTTGCTGTGATTGGTCTACTCTGCCCTGATTGGTCAGATGGCCCAGTCTGTTGTGATTGTCTGAAACTAGAAGAAGAAGACATATTATGAAAGCAAAATGGCCCTCAAATTTGACCAGTGCATGAAAAAACAATGGTTTTGCCTGTAGTGTCTTGCCTGAAGATAATTCCTGACATTGTGCATACCTATAGACTAAACACATAATATGCATGTGCGCGCCGTCACCGTTTTTACAGATTCACCTTTTTGAAGTTTACATGGAGATGATAACGTTTTTCACCTTGTAACTTATTTCAAAGTTTGCGTTCTCGAGCCACCAAACACTGTTGTCGTGCAAACGAATGGCTGTAAAGTGTCACTGTAATTTCACTGTAAAGTGGCTTTGAAACAATCTATATTGCTAAGAGCGCTATATAAATGGTGACTTGACTTGACATTGTGAATGTGTGAGTTTGCAGTTACCTCTTTAAAACACTGCAGGTGAACCGCGCTCTCCAAAAACTCGCGCATGCTTTGAGACTTATGACTCAGAAACGACTCGTTGCAGAACACAACCGGCCCTTCCTTCAAAGTAAGAGAGGGGAACATTGAAGAGAGCATTTATAAACCTGATGCTAATGTTTATGTAAACGAGCGTCACTCACGGCCGGCGACTGTAAGGCATCTCTGTATCCGCCGAACAGCAGAGCCTGCGCGCGGAGGAACGCGTGCGCGACCCCTGACCCCGCCGACGCCGCCTGTCTCTTCAGCCTGACCTTCAGTCCCGCCACCTGCAGAAACAGTGTTTGCCGTAAAGCTTCAGCCGCTGCGTGCCAGAGTCCTGCGAGGACGAGCAAGCGAGTCTCACCACGTCGGCCGGGATCTTCTTCAGGTCCTCGTGGGGCGACTCCAGCGTGTTGGTGTCAACGTTTAGTATGACCACGTCCTCCAGAGCTCGACTCTTGACTCTCTGTCGCACCAAAACACACAGAAGGAACCGTAATGTGAGCGTTTATGCGACACAAACTGTGAGAGAAGACGATGAATGAGGGAATCGTCGTACCTCCGCCAGGCTGGAGTGGATTCCAATGAGGTACGGCATCGGTGCGCTGGAAAACGAAGGTGAGGTGGTGGTAATGGAGGATGTGTTAATATTATTAGTTAACATTAATATTATAGGCAATATATAATACTGAGGGCCCCATGTTATTTATTTATTTTTTATAAATGTGCACCACTTTGGGTCAAACTCAGTTTCTTTTAAATGTGCTATATAAATAAATTTTGATTTGATGGTTGTGTGTGTGTACATGTTTCTCTATTCCGGTGGGGACTTAAACCTGAATGCACACAGACTCATGGGGACTCGTGTCACTGTGGCCTAAATCACAGTCAACAAGCTTATAACTCATACAGAATGAGTTTTTCTGAAAATGTAAAAATGCAGAAAGTTTTGTGTGATAGGTAGGTTTAGTGTGTGTGTGTGATGGGTAGGTTTAGGGGTTTTGTGTGTGTGTGTGATGGGTAGGTTTAGTGTGTGTGTGTGTGTATGTTCATGTTTATATTACATTGTGGGGAGTGGACCAAATGACCCCACAAGTATAGTAAAACCTGAAATCACCATTGTGGGGACCAGCCAGCGGTCCCCATGAGGAAAACAGCGTATAAATCATAATAAATAATGTTTTTTGAAAATGTAAAAATGCAGAAAGTTGTGTGAGATGGGTAGGTTTAGGGATAGGGGCAGTGTAAGGGGACAGAATATACAGTTTGTACAGTATAAAAACCATTACGCATATGGAGAGTCCCCACAAAGATGTGTGCGCCTGTTTGTGTGTGTGTGTGTCTCATACCAGCAGTAGTCCAGCAGATGAGGTGGCAGCACTGGAATGAAGATGTGCTGCCAGTACATGGGGAAGAGCATCCCGTTACACGCGTGTACGCAGGCCGTGAGCTGAACACACAAAGCACTGAAGTTTTAATGTTTAATGAAGCCGTGTCCTGACTAGATCCAACACAATAAGTGTCTAGCATCAAGTGACTTTTCTGCCTTAAATGAAAGAAATAACATTCACAGGCAATGATGTTTAATTGAGTTTTGGAATTTATAAATTAAAAAATGTATACATTTATCATGGATATTAATAGAACTTTAATCTGAAACATTTTAGTTTGTTAAAAGGTTTTTAAGGAGGTTTTTTTTTTTAATGTTCCATTATTTATTACTATGAATATCCATGATACATAATGTTTTTGTGCCAACTTTGAATAAATGTTCTATTACTATGTGTTACTGGAAGAATGTTTGTTCATAACTTTAATAAAGCCTTCCCAGAATTAGCCAAAGTTACAAGAGCATTTACTGTTAGCTGGGGATACGGGTTGGAACAACATGAGGGTGAAGGATGTTTTTCAGTGAACTATTCCTTTGTTTCACATTAATATTAATGCATTTTGGTATTCAAAGCGAATTACATTGCAGTCAAGTTATGCATTTCAGTACGGTACATGCATTCCCTAGGAATTGAACCCATGACCTTGAGTTGCGTCCCAAATATACTCTATGTACTTATGCACCGTGTACTCATCCGTGTAATGTGTGAATTTTAAAAGGTTATTTTTTCATCACATCAAAGTCTGATGCCAAAAAGGCATACAATAGTGCACAAGTGCGTGACTTTTGGTGTTGCTAGCGCCATACTCTTCTGTTTTCATGTTCAGTTTTAGTAGCCGAAGCGAATCAAGGCACTGAAGCGTCTTCTCTAAACTCACCGTGCTGAGTTTACTGCAGTAAATGAGGATCCGTCTCTCGAACAACATGCTGGCGTAGAGCTGGAGGAGATTGCCCACGTCCACCGCCACCACCAGCTCCGTCAGGTTCCTCTGATACACACACACACACACACACGCTTATAAGAACCGAGAAATGACCAGGCAGATCAAATCCACACATTATTGAAATCATAGAATAGAAACGATGGGGAAAAACTCACACTCTCTGGAATTGAGGGCAAGGCTTTGGGATCCGGCGCGATAAAGTACGGGATCTGATTCAGAGGAACAATATTTCACAAAAGTGCCCAACGAAATTGCATGTTTGGTTAGCAGCTACCACATGAAAGTCGTTAGGCCTTCTAGTTAGTCTGTCTCAAGGGTTTTAGGTTAGATGAACAAAGGTTTTGTGATTGATTTTGTGATAAATTCGAGTTCTAGTTAGTGTTTTAGTTAAGCATTGGTCCGTTTTGTGATTAGTTTCAGATGCTGGATTGGGTCAATCCCGTATTATGGCATGCATTAGGATTAATTAGACGCTGGAGTGAAGGTTTAGTCCGGTCGGCTCGTTGTACAGCGGGTCAGGGACTCACCCCCTCTGACTCCTCCCCTTTAGGGGCGTGTCCACAGATGCCAGGCATCTTGCTTCCGATCACTAGCTTCCCTCCCTCAGTGAAGAACAAACGACCCTGATTGTGATGTCACACGTGATGTCATAAACGGAACTTCCAGCAGCCAATCGGCACTTACCATCTGCAGCGTGATGGAGCCGTTCGCCGGCGGGACGGGTTGCTTGTAGAGAACCGAGAGCAGCTCTTTCATCTCGTTGGTCTGCCAGGGTGTGCAAATCAACAAAACGGCGTTAGACACATTAACGGGCCAAAGTTTCAAATCATTTGGAAAATGTTTGGAAAAAAATGTAGGTTGGCTGCATTTATTCGATTTGAAAATACAGTAAAACGGTAATATTGTGAAATATTATTACCATTTAAAATAACTGTTTTCTATTTTTCTCATTTTAAAATGACAAGAAAAAAGTATAATTTTCCACAAAAATATTAAGCAGCAAAAACTGTTTTCAACTTTGATACCATTATTAAACATTTAAAACCAATAATAATTTAGCTTCAAATCAGGATATTATTACAGAAGGATCATGTGACACTGAAGACTGGAGTAGTGATGCTTAAAATTCAGCTTTGATCACAGGTATAAATTACACTTTAACATATATTCATAGAAAACAGTTATTTTAAATTGTAATAATATTACTAATTTACTGTAGTTCTGATCAAATAAATGCAGCTTTGGTGAGCAGAAGAGACTTTATCAAGATCTACTTTAACTAGATTTGTCCGTTTAACCCTCACCTGTCCTTTCGTCGAGTAGTCCGCTAGGTTATTCAGGAGTTTGTAGAAGACCTCAAACCATGGCAAATGACTGAGAGAGAGAGAAATCGCACTGCTAAGGCTGTTTATGTACTTATTATGAGTTAAAACTAAGAACTTAAAGTAGATCATAACTCTAACGTTCACCATTTATTGCAAATAAGTGAATCTAACGAGACATGAAAACTGGGCTTGGTGAATGTGTTTAGCCAACGGCCATGAGATCAGACTGTTGATCATTGAAAGGGGCTTCATGGATGAGAACCGGTCCTCAATCATGTGCACTGAGTGAAACGGTGTGTTTTGCGTGTGTGAGACCTGAGGATGCAGAAGCAGGTCTGAGAGCTGGACGTGAGTCTGCAGAAACCGAAGCGCTGGCATCCCTCCAGATCCGTCAAGACGAATGCGAAGTGCTGCACGGCAACCGTGTCCTTCGCCCTGGCAATCGGACGGGTCATAAAAGGTCAAAAGACTGGCGTGTGCATTACTATATTCAATAATAATAATAATAATGAGTGATTTTCACCTCTCTATGTCATAAGGGAAGCAGAAGCGAGGCAAGGACTGCAGAGACTCCTGTGTGAGAAGACGTATTATCACTCAATATTCGCAACCTATTTTACATGCAGTGTGAGATATTTCTGAGCTCAACAGGAAGACTGCAGTGGATCATGAAGAGTGTGTGTTTGCAGAGGATTGTGGCGGATCTGAGGACACTTTTGGACCCAGATGGGGAGGCTAAATGTAAAATTACCCGGTAAGGCCTGTTTAGTTTAATATCTATCTTCATTTTTTTCTATTATTGGTGTAATCTCTATTATATTAATAGTCTTTAAAATACTTTTCACTGTTGTATACAGTTTAGAAAGGCTAAAACAATGACTAAGTATATATTGTTATACTATATATTGTAGCAGAGCTGAAACAAGTTTGTTATATTTTGAGGAAAGATGAAAGAAAGAAAAATAATTCTTTAAAAATGTCAGCTAAATCATGAAAAATAAGACTTGGAACATGTTTTAAGAAGTAAATAGGATAAATTCTGAAATTTTATCAATTATAAAATTGATTATAAACAGGTGAAACTCGAAAAATTAGAATATTGTGCTAAAGTTAATTTACTTCAGTAATTCAACTTAAAAGGTGAAACTAATATATAGACTCATTATTTATTATAATTTTGATGATTATGGCTTACAGCTTATGAAACCCCAAATTCAAAATTAGAATATTGTGAAATTTTCATAGCTGTAAGCCATAATCATCAAAATTATAACAAATAAAGGCTTGAAATATCTCACTTTGCATGTAATGAGTCTATATAATATATTAGTTTCACCTTTTAAGTTGAATTACTGAAATAAATGAACTTTTGCACCATATTCTAATTTTTCGAGTTTCACCTGTTTTTTAATGTAATATAATTGTCCCCTATTTTAAACCGTTGCTATTAAGTTATATTAATGTAAATAAAATAAAATAAAATAAATTATTAAAAATAAATGGTAACACTTTAGTTTAGGGTCCAATTCTCATTATTAACTAGTCGCTCATTAGCATGCATATTACTAGGTGTATTAGTACTTAAAAAGCACATATTAATGCCTTATTCTGCATGACCATATTCTACATCCCTTAATCCACCCAATACCTAAACTTAACTACCTTACAAACTATTAATAAACAGCAAGAGTCACAGGTAATAGTGAGGCTTGCATCCTAATCTAAAGTGTGACCAGATAAATAAATAAAAGGAAGAAGGAAAGAACCACAGTGATCGTGAGGACTAACCTCATCATTAAAGTCTTCAGGGAACTGAAACAGCACACCAGGATCTACTCAAACAGAAAGAAAACACACACACACACACACACACACACGTGTGGGTCAGGCACATCAGTTCATTTCTCAACTAGAGGATGTGGTTAAAGTCAGGTCACAGTTATCCACAGAGAGTAACCAGACCAGTTGAGCCCGACCTCATCTCTCTTTAACCCTGTTAGCAGAGGACAGCGCACTAACTAGTTCCCCTGCTTTTCTCTTTCTGATGAGTGTGTATCGGCCCGGGTGTGTGGTTTTTCTGGTTCAGTCATGTGACAGGAAGAGCCATTCTCAGAAAAGACAGGCTTCTGTGTGTGTGTGTGTGTGTGTGTGTGTGTGTGTGTGTGTGTGTGTGTGTGTGTGTGTGTGTGTGTGTGTGTGTTTATTGCATCAGTTAGTCCCTATGTGTGTGTGTGTGTGTGTGTGTGTGTGTGTGTGTGTGTGTGTGTGTGTGTGTGTGTGTGTGTGTGTGTGTGTGTGTGTGTGTGTGTGTGTGTGTGTGTGTGTGTGTGTGTGTGTGTGTGTTTATTGCATCAGTTAGTCCCTGTGTGTGTGTGTGTGTGTGTGTAATACCCACCTTTATCTCTGGCGATTGGACATGAGGCTTGAAAGCACCAGTAGAACGTTTTATCAGGGTTTTCTCTGAGAACAACAAAACCATGAAAAAAAAAATAGTCATCATAACAAAACAAGCATTGAAATCACAGTAGAAAAACATTACAGTTCTGATGTGAAAAGCAAACGCTGTCAGAATGACCGACGACTCTGAGTGGATCACACACTCTGCTCATACACTCTTAATAAAGCTTGATGCGAGGAGCAGGATGTGGTCGACTGCTGAAGTAGAGAAGCACATCGACAGAAAATACTTCTGACTGAGCATTTCAACCGGACTCGACTACATTCATGCAAACGCAGTGATCAACAGCATGTTTGTGGCTGGAAATGTTGCATTAATTACAAAATGATCAGTCAATTGCTCTTGAGAGAATTTGAGAAATGTTCAGATTTTTATGTATGGCTTTTAATGGGAGATCAGCACAATTTTAGAAAAACCTGCGAATGAAAAGTGTCCATCAGCGATTGAGATATAAGAGATGATATTCATGATAGATGTGGTGTTGAGGGTGTTGATAGTGACTTTCAACACCAGTGAGAAACTTCATACGTCCACTGAAGAGTGCAAAAACACCTATGGGTTTCCGACACTATGAGACTTCAGCAACGATGAAGAAAAGTGACGTACGTCATACAGATAACTTTTTATTATGTTGTTTAATGCAATGACGTTCAGGCAGATTTGAGTGTGGCTTGAAGCAGGTTTGAGGCCACTGTGCGTTTTCTTTTCTTTTCTTTTCTTTTCTTAAGGCAGCTTGAAATGAAGGATGGAGAGGTGATGGACATCATCTCAGAGGACACCTGTCCAAACTCTCCATCTGCAGATCTCATCATCTCGACACTCGCTCTGGTGCTCGGGTTTATTCGCTGAATCGTGATGGAAAGCCTCGCGTCCGAGAACGACAGAGCGAGGAAGAGGAAGTAAGCAGGAGACCGCAATGTGAGCAAACAGAGAGAAATCGAGAGGCAAACGGAGAGAGAATCTTACTTTATCCTGGAGCCCATGATGCTCTTGTGTGTCGGGGCCCATTCGGGGTGTTCAGGGGCCGTCAGCAGACCAAAGTCATCAGATCCTTAGTTCACATCGACACACACACACTCTTCTGCACACACACACATCCTCACATCAAACAGCCAATTCCGCCGACTAGCACTCAACTCAAGACAGCACTTCCTGATCTCTCTCTCTCTGTGTGTGTGTGTGTGCTCTTGTTTTTATTACATTGTGAGGACCAAATGTCTCCACAAGTATAGTAAGACGTGAAATCACCTACATTGTGAGGACTATAGCCAATGGTCCCCACAAGTCAAATTGATTAATGAACATAATTAATGATGTTTTTTAGAAAATGTAAAAGAGCAGAAAGTTTTCTGTGATGGGTTGGGTTAGTGTAAGGGGACAGAATATACAGTTTGTACAGTATAAAAACCATTACGTCTATGGAGAGTCCCCACAAAGATAGTAAACCAGACGTGTGTGTGTGTGAGAGAGAGAGACCTACATGACGTTTGCTGGCCTATTGACTATAATATCCACTTTATAATCCCATATTCTCAATAATAACTATATTTTGCCCTCTGGTAGATCGAGTCTCATCTTTAGGTTGAATCACTTCAGAAAGCCATTCATTTTACTTAGACTAGTAAGTGAGCATTTTGAAATAATAAAAAGTGCATACAATGTTACATATTTATAACATGTTAAATGTTTTTTATGTGGTTTTATTTTATAGTGTTGTTGTTATACCTTTATAATATATATATATATATATATATATATATATATATATATATATATATATATATATATGTATAGGCCTCTAGCGAATGTGAATGTGTGTTTATTCATATAGGATAAAGTCACACTTTCGCCTAGTGATGGTTGAAAACATAAACACATGGAAGAGGAAATACAAGAATGGACTTCCTCTATTGTATCTCTGCTGTTTTGCTCTCATCATTTCTCATATGTTTGCTCTCTCTCTCTCTCTCTCTCTCTCTCTCTCTCTCTCTCTCTCTCTCTCTCTCTCTCTCTCTCTGTGTAACACGGAAGGGCGATCAATATGGATGGGCTGAGCAAATGGGTAACTTTGTGTGTTTGTAAGCGAGTAAGTGTGTCTGTGTAAATGGGACACTCTTCTGACAGTTCATTTGACTAATATTGTCATTGCATTGAAGTACATCCGAGTTCTTGGTACCAGTTTATTTGTGCAAACTGGCTCCCTCTAGTGTTCAGTGGAGGAACAGCATGACAACTCGCTTTTGGAAACAGTAAAGAAATGAAGGTGAGTAAAAAATAATTTGAGGAATATTGGTAGCACTTTATTTTACAGTCCTGTTCCCCATGTACTATACTTATTTTAGTGATTGCAATAACTCGTTAATGTACTAGCCCTGGACCTAACCTTAACCCTTGTAGTTAACCAGTAGCCTAGGCTTTCTCAGGTAAGTACGATGTAAGTAGCATACACATACTGTAAAATAAAGTGAAACCGTAATATTCCTAAGGACGTTTTCAATTTCATTTGGCAACTTTCTACGGAAGCCCATTTTAGAATAAACAAATAAGGTAGGCTAATAGTGACTTTATTTGTTTAATTGCAACTCAATTCCTTGTAATTGTGACTATTTCTTATTTATAACCTTTTTTTTTTTTAACAGTAGCCTTCCATATTTATTTTGTGGAAACCAGAAATCATTAAATCTAATATGCTGAAATGTGTCTATTAACGCCATCTTGTCTCGTCATTCAATTAACAAAAATGAATCAGGTGAATGATAGGCTATGTTTTCCAATGTAAAACGGCTAAATTTGACCAAAAAAAGTCGAATACTTTTACTCATTTGGTAGAACTCTCATTTAACATTTCTGTCGCAAACAGTTGTCAAATATTAAATGTTTAGCTACTTCTTACCTCAGCTCGCACTCGCTGACCGTTAACTGATCGCGCTTAAAATTCAGTCACACATTTCAAACCTGCAACAAGTCATATTTTCCCACCTCAGGAATTAGACCTTTTTTTATTATTTTTTGCTTATTTTATTCTCAACCCCGTAACGGACAAAATGGAATTGGTTTAAAAAAGATTTTAGAATAATTTTGCACAAAACGTTTTTGCTCATGTGTCCCTCATAACAATTGAAAAACTACAAAACATTTATGATCATTTTCCCATTTTTATGGGACTCTATAGTTAAAGGTTCTCTAAGCGATCCTGGGTGACGTCACTTCTTGTTGACGTTCGAACTATTGTCAAACAAAACGGAGGCTAGCTAGACCCTCCCTCCTCCTCATCCGCACACTAACCCCCCAAACCCCGCCCCCAAACCCTTCTTGTCGGTCATTGGCTGGAACAGTTTGTTATGTTTTGGGGAGCGGGTCGCTGCAGTTTGTTTTTGGTGCTGTTTGTGAAGCATGGGCTGTCTACAGAGATCGCGTTTCTTTACAGTGTGTTCAGGGGACAGGCAGCCAGCGGATAGTGAGGAGATGTTTGCTGTATGTGACAAAAAATGTTTTGGCCTAAAAAACACATGACATCGCTTAGAGCACCTTTAAAAATAGACAAATTGTGTGTTTATGGTCTTTATTTTTTGTACAAAATAAAAATGGTTTTCAATTTAGATGTTTACCTCAATTGTATTGTGTTAGTCTTTAGGTGGTAATCAGTAAGAAATGCCTTCATTTTTAATCTTCTTCCCTATCTTTTTTCCAAAATAATAGTCAAGTTGAGAATAGTGTGATTGGTTTAAACGGAGACATTGCCTTCAATTTTATTTTTTATTTTGTGTCTCAGATTGTGCCCTTTCTTGGTCAACAACATGTATCTGCATGCACAGCAGCGTTTCTGCTGCTGATGTGGCTGCCATTTCTGCCATAGGATGATTGTCAGTGTTTAGGTGGACGTATTACATCAAATATTCTATTTATAACAAAATTATCAGCTGTCATGTCAGTATATCTGTACTGGGACCATGACCTTTTTTTTTTTATTAAAAATATTCATAAATGAAGTGAAAAAACTAAACCCTGAAACAATGAGAAATATACAGATATGTGACAGGGTTGTTGTTTTTTTGCTCAAAATGGCCGCCCACTGCTCCTCATGTAGTTTAGAAGAGATCATAGATCATATATGGCAGCAATGAAATAAGTACATTGTTATGGATTAAAATAACATTGAAAAAATGGGGTCGAGTTGATAAACTTGACAGTACCCTCCCTATAATACACCTCAAAAATATGATTTTAAAAATATGAAATTACTTACCATCTTCTGCGCCATTGTTAAAGAGACCTGAATGATGTCATTTCTGGTAAATATGTCACATATTGATGGAGCCTAAATTATTGGCATGACATGGTTGAGTTTAGACTGAGGGACATAACTTTATAGTCTGTTATTTATAAAATATCTTGCATTTTTTAGAAAATTATTTTTCACAAGAAAATAACAAATAAATACAATATTGGCAAAAATTATAGACACTTTGCACATTTTCTTTAATATTTTCCAAAGTCCAAATGCAGTGAAGTGCCTCAGGGACATGTACAATAGAAATAACATTATTTTATGATAAATTATTTAAATGTGCAATAATTTTATTCATTATAATGGACATACCAAATTAAGGATAGCTTTTAACATTTGATTCTGGTGAACCACCGCTTTATAAAAAGTCTGGGGGAAATAAATATTACCGAATCCCAGGAATGACCTACTCATAAAATCATGATGACATTGTTACATTTATTACATTTATTTCAAGAACGTTTGGTCTGTTGAGTCACACAGCACGACTTTTTTCAGTTTTGTCACGTCTTTATTCAGTGAATCCATGGTCATTTTAACAAAATGAGGAAAGGGCTAGAATCACAGAAGAGTTAGAATCACACAAGAATTTGAATGGATTTCCTTTGCTTAACAAAACTGGACTGAGATATTTACTACTCAACAATATTATTGATCCGACTGCACTAACGCAGAGCTGGACGATGAATTTAATTTTGTTTGCAGAACTGCTTAAAAGATGAAATGAACAAATTTAATAATTGATGATCTTTACAACGAAACTGAATCAACACTGAACTGACTCGAGCTGAACAACAGCCGGAATGCATCATTTTCCCATTATTACTATAAAGCTGCTTTGAAACAAACTGTATTGTGTAAAGCGCTATATAAATTATATAAATAAAGGTGATGAGACTTGACTTGACTTGAGAGGAGATGAATCAGAAGATGGCGGACGAGATGGCGATCAGGCGGCCTCTTCTTCACCCTCCTCCTCGAACTCTCCCTCCTCGGCAGTGGCTTCTTGGTACTGCTGATACTCGGACACCAGGTCGTTCATGTTGCTCTCGGCCTCTGTGAACTCCATCTCGTCCATTCCCTCGCCGGTGTACCAGTGCAGGAAAGCCTTGCGGCGAAACATGGCAGTGAACTGCTCGGAAATGCGCTTAAACAGCTCCTGGATGGCAGTGCTGTTACCGATGAAGGTTCCCGACATCTTGAGCCCGCGTGGCGGGATGTCGCAAACCGCTGTCTTCACATTGTTTGGGATCCACTCCACAAAGTAGCTGCTGTTCTTGTTCTGGATGTTCAGCATCTGCTCATCCACCTCCTTCATGGACATGCGTCCGCGGAAAACGACGGCCACGGTTAGGTAGCGTCCGTGGCGCGGGTCGCACGCTGCCATCATGTTCTTGGCGTCGAACATCTGCTGGGTGAGCTCGGGAACGGAGAGCGCGCGGTATTGCTGGCTCCCCCTGCTGGTGAGAGGAGCGAAGCCGGGCATGAAGAAGTGCAGGCGAGGGAATGGCACCATGTTGACCGCCAGTTTGCGAAGATCAGCGTTCAACTGTCCGGGGAACCTCAGACAGGTGGTGACGCCGCTCATGGTGGCCGAGACGAGGTGGTTAAGATCGCCGTACGTGGGCGTGGTAAGTTTAAGCGTGCGGAAGCAGATGTCGTACAACGCTTCGTTGTCGATACAATAGGTCTCGTCTGTGTTCTCAACCAGCTGGTGGACGGACAGCGTGGCGTTGTAGGGCTCCACGACCGTGTCCGACACTTTGGGAGACGGCACCACGCTGAAGGTGTTCATGATGCGGTCGGGATACTCCTCGCGGATCTTGCTGATGAGAAGCGTTCCCATGCCGGAGCCGGTTCCTCCTCCGAGCGAGTGCGTGAGCTGGAAGCCCTGAAGGCAGTCGCAGCTCTCAGCTTCCTTGCGAACCACGTCCATCACAGAGTCCACCAGTTCGGCGCCCTCCGTGTAATGACCCTTAGCCCAGTTATTACCCGCTCCGCTCTGACCTACAGAACGAGCAGGACACAAAATCCATTAGCGTTTTATGATGCAAAGTTATTAAGGGGTTAGTTCACCTAAAAATTACATTTCTGTCTACCTTTACTTAACTTTATGCTGTTCCAAACCCATTAGACTTTTATTATACTTATATGATGCACAGATTGAATTAATGCTTTTATTCACATATAAATATTGATCAGTGAGCATAAACAGAAGCTCAACCAAATCTGCTTGACGTGTGAAAAACAAACCTCTTGCAGAAGCTCAAACGTAATGCGTAACACATGAGAATGAATCTCATTGGTTCTTTCAGAAGCTCAAACGTGATGCGTAATACAAGAATTAATCTCATTGGTTCTTTCAGAAGCTCAAACGTGATGCGTAATACAAGAATTAATCTCATTGGTTCTTTCAGAAGCTCAAACGTGATGCGTAACACGCGAGAAAGAACCTCATTGGTTCTTGATGAACTCAAACGTGATGCGTAACACGCGAGAATGAACCTCATTGGTTCTTTCAGAAGCTCTAATGTGATGCGTAACACGCGAGAATGAACCTCATTGGTTCTTGCTGAAGCTCAAACATGCTGTGTAACACGAGAAAGAACCTCATTGGTTCTTGCTGAACTCAAACGTGATGCGTAACACGAGAATTAACCTCATTGGTTCTTGCTGAACTCAAACGTGATGCGTGACACGCGAGAATGAACCTCATTGGTTCTTGCTGAACTCAAACGTGATGCGTGACACGCGAGAAAGAACCTCATTGGTTCTTGCTGAACTCAAACGTGATGCGTAACACGAGAATTAACCTCATTGGTTCTTGCTTAACTCAAACGTGATGCATGACACGCGAGAATGAAACTCATTGGTTCTTGCTGAACTCAAACGTGATGCATGACACGCGAGAATGAAACTCATTGGTTCTTGCTGAACTCATACGTGATGCGTGACACGCGAGAATGAACCTCATTGGTTCTTGCTGAACTCAAACGTGATGCGTAACACGAGAATTAACCTCATTGGTTCTTGCTGAACTCAAACGTGATGCATGACACGCGAGAATGAACCTCATTGGTTCTTGCTGAACTCAAACGTGATGCATGACACGCGAGAATGAACCTCATTGGTTCTTGCTGAACTCAAACGTGATGCATGACACGCGAGAATGAAACTCATTGGTTCTTGCTGAACTCATACGTGATGCGTGACACGCGAGAAAGAACCTCATTGGTTCTTGCTGAACTCAAACGTGATGCGTAACACGAGAATTAACCTCATTGGTTCTTGCTTAACTCAAACGTGATGCATGACACGCGAGAATGAAACTCATTGGTTCTTGCTGAACTCAAACGTGATGCATGACACGCGAGAATGAAACTCATTGGTTCTTGCTGAACTCATACGTGATGCGTGACACGCGAGAATGAACCTCATTGGTTCTTGCTGAACTCAAACGTGATGCGTAACACGAGAATTAACCTCATTGGTTCTTGCTGAACTCAAACGTGATGCATGACACGCGAGAATGAACCTCATTGGTTCTTGCTGAACTCAAACGTGATGCATGACACGCGAGAATGAACCTCATTGGTTCTTGCTGAACTCAAACGTGATGCATGACACGCGAGAATGAAACTCATTGGTTCTTGCTGAACTCAAACGTGATGCGTGACACGCGAGAATGAACCTCATTGGTTCTTGCTGAACTCAAACGTGATGCGTGACACGCGAGAAAGAACCTCATTGGTTCTTGCTGAACTCAAACGTGATGCGTAACACGAGAATTAACCTCATTGGTTCTTGCTTAACTCAAACGTGATGCATGACACGCGAGAATGAAACTCATTGGTTCTTGCTGAACTCAAACGTGATGCATGACACGCGAGAATGAACCTCATTGGTTCTTGCTGAACTCAAACGTGATGCATGACACGCGAGAATGAACCTCATTGGTTCTTGCTGAACTCAAACGTGATGCATGACACGCGAGAATGAACCTCATTGGTTCTTGCTGAACTCAAACGTGATGCGTGACACGCGAGAATGAACCTCATTGGTTCTTGCTGAACTCAAACGTGATGCATGACACGCGAGAATGAACCTCATTGGTTCTTGCTGAACTCAAACGTGATGCATGACACGCGAGAATGAACCTCATTGGTTCTTGCTGAACTCAAACGTGATGCATGACACGCGAGAATGAACCTCATTGGTTCTTGCTGAACTCAAACGTGATGCATGACACGCGAGAATGAACCTCATTGGTTCTTGCTGAACTCAAACGTGATGCGTGACACGCGAGAATGAACCTCATTGGTTCTTGCTGAACTCAAACGTGATGCGTGACACGCGAGAAAGAACCTCATTGGTTCTTGCTGAACTCAAACGTGATGCGTAACACGAGAATGAAACTCATTGGTTCTTGCTGAACTCAAACGTGATGCGTGACACGCGAGAATGAACCTCATTGGTTCTTGCTGAACTCATACGTGATGCGTGACACGCGAGAAAGAACCTCATTGGTTCTTGCTGAACTCAAACGTGATGCGTAACACGAGAATTAACCTCATTGGTTCTTGCTGAACTCAAACGTGATGCATGACACGCGAGAATGAAACTCATTGGTTCTTGCTGAACTCAAACGTGATGCGTAACACGAGAATTAACCTCATTGGTTCTTGCTGAACTCAAACGTGATGCGTGACACGCGAGAATGAACCTCATTGGTTCTTGCTGAACTCAAACGTGATGCGTAACACGAGAATGAAACTCATTGGTTCTTGCTGAACTCAAACGTGATGCGTGACACGCGAGAATGAACCTCATTGGTTCTTGCTGAACTCATACGTGATGCGTGACACGCGAGAATGAACCTCATTGGTTCTTGCTGAACTCAAACGTGATGCGTAACACGAGAATGAAACTCATTGGTTCTTGCTGAACTCAAACGTGATGCGTGACACGCGAGAATGAACCTCATTGGTTCTTGCTGAACTCAAACGTGATGCGTAACACGAGAATGAACCTCATTGGTTCTTGCTGAATTCAAACGTGATGCGTAACACGAGAATGAACCTCATTGGTTCTTGCTGAACTCAAACGTGATGCGTAACACGAGAATGAACCTCATTGGTTCTTGCTGAATTCAAACGTGATGCGTAACACGCGAGAAAGAACCTCATTGGTTCTTGCTGAAACTCAATCGTGCTTTGTAACACGAGAAAGAACCTCATTGGTTCTTGCACATGAAGCAAACATGCTTGAGCTTCTGTTTACCACAACTGCTGTGAGAGTTGATCAATGTTGAAATATGTGAATAAAAGCCTAAATTCAATCATGCTAGTGAAATCCATACAGGTAGGAGTGGTGCAGAAAATGCTAAAAACAGGTAATTTAGTTGTACCTTCATTCTAATGTTGATCAATCTAAATGATTTTAAATTAGCCTGTCAGTTGGTACTAATTAGCATAATACAATAGAAATGTATAAACTATAATACGAATGATAAGAAAAACTCAAATTAATCAAATACAACATTTTTGTTTACAAGGCCATTAGGAGTCTGTGTCTTTCATTTAAAATAAATTTAAAGGGATACTCATGTTGTTCCAAATCTGTATGATATTCTTTCTTGTGCAGAACACACACATATATATATATATATATCTAAAAAGAATATATTTCAGGGTACAAAATAACACTGGACCTTACTGACTTCTTTCTAAACTCACTAGTGTTTCACTGAATAAAAAAGTAATAAATAGTAAAGGCAATAATGTAATTAAAATTGTCTGGCCATCCCTTTAATTTAACTATAAAAATGTCTGCACGGGTTTCATTGAAAAATATATCTGAGATATTTCAACATTCAGAAGTGAATCAATGTATAACAACACTAAAAAAATAAATCAGATGTTTGCATGCAATGATATAAGAGTGGAGGGGGTTTATATACCAAAAACAAAGTTGTCAGGTCTGAATATCTGTCCAAAAGGCCCGGAGCGGACCGAGTCCATGGTTCCCGGCTCGAGATCCACAAGGATGGCACGAGGGACATACTTTCCCCCTGAGAAAACAGACAACCAAAGAATGCACCTCAATATAAGGACTTAAGTTGTTTGTATGGAGATTGTGTCTACAAGTTAGGGTTAATTGTAATAAAATAAAACATTTAGTATTAAGATGGGAGTGTTCTGTGATATACAAGGGCCCTGAAATGGGTCAATCCAGGAATCAGACATTTGACATTCCCTATGGTAAACGGTGGTTATGTGCTTACCAGAGGCTTCGTTGTAGTAAACACTGATGCGGTCCAGCTGCAGGTCACTGTCTCCATGATAGCTGCCGGTGGGGTCAATGCCGTGCTCGTCACTGATCACCTCCCAGAACTGAGCGGAAAAAAAATTGGAACCCATGAAGAATCACTGATGCTGTGTAATGAGCCCTGGGCTAGTGGTACCACTGGGAAGTTGTCTCAAATTATATCACATGAGGTATGTATCGAGTCAAAAATAAATAAATAAATAAATAAATAAAAATGCATGCTTTCTGTATTCAGCATGATGATTATACACCTAGTTCAAAATCCTCTTGAATATGCAATATAATATTTGTCCAGTATCATATTTTTTTTGCAATATCTGTTGTGAACACTGTATAACCACATTAGGATAAGAGACACTATATTAGAAAGGTGCATTGCTAACATTGCAATGGTTATAAATGCATATAATTTATTAATTATTATATTTTCTGGCCAAATCAATGGGTTAATAAGATTGAACATTATATTTTACATTTGTGTTCATTCTTCGTTACATAATTGCTGTACTGTATAGTTCCTCTGTTGATTTAATTGCATCTTTTTATTCTTGAGCAATAAGAGAGAAAACGCCCCTTTTGAAATATGCATACAAAAACTGACAAAAATAAACACATGCTAATAAATAACCACAATATAAGATGACACTCTTTTAATATTGCATTTAGAGCTAATTTGATGGAAATGTATAGGCTAATTTCAGAGGAACAAGAGCGGAGAGCATCCCCATCCCCCATGCACATTGGCAAACGTCTGGCATCGCCTACTACGCCATTGGAATGTAACGTTACTCCATTGAAAGAAAACACGACGAAAAAAGACCATTTTCTTTTCTTTTAAACGTGTCGTCATAATTTAAATGCTTATTTATTATAATCTTGCAGTATTTTGTGTGATTTTAGGCGAGTTGAAGCGCGAGCCTGCCGCCACACCCCTCTCGTGCACCCGGCGAGACATACGCATCAAACAAATACGGTGTAACGAAAAACGCATCGATCGCTTCGCGTTGCAGACTATTTAAAAAGCCATCGAATTCGAAAACGTTCAGAAAACTGCAACACAAACTGTACATTAAATGATTGATTAGTAACAGCGAAAAATCATTATATTTTGAAGATATGAAAAGGCCTATAAAACAAAGAAGCGAATGAAAATGTTTATTTTTCGTGTTCTACCTTCGCTCCGATCTGATTCCCGCACTGGCCCGCCTGAAGATGCACTATCTCACGCATGTTGACTTGAAAGATGTGAAAATAATGTGTAAATCTGTTGAATCTCGATGGCCCGTTCTCACACCCTCTTCGGATTATGTCTCGCCCAGACTAGTGCGTAGTGCGCGCTCCCGTCAGCCTGAATCCAACAGTCAGTCCGTGTTGCCAGATTGGGTCGAAGATTTCCACCCTTAAATCTCACCAAAGCCCGCCCACTACAAGAAAACCCGCCCAAATCATTAACTGCCAAAAACAATGCGATAGAATTTTATTGCCATGTCATTCAAGGTTGATAAGGACGATTTTTATCTCCTTAAAACAAAATAATGATGACAAAGAATTAAAATAAACCAGGGAAACAGATAAACAGGGCAAAAGCATTAAAGAGAATTAGCAAATATTACTAACATGTCTTTAGGCCTACTAAACGGCAATGAATCAAAGAATTAACAGATTAATCATTGGAAAAACAATTTTTTATGTCAGTAATAGTAAGAATAAGTCCATTTAAATAAAAAAAAGTGCACAATTAAGTGAAAAAGCAACGTAATTAGCAGGCATTTAACACATTTTCATGCACAAAAATGCAACAAAACAACTCCAAGAATGTGTCATTCAAACTACAATACTCCAATAATAATGCACTTAATTTTGTGTTGCACTTAAACATCGGACAGAACTAATTTCGTGAAGTAGAACAAACTGCAGAACTTTGCAGAGTCAAAACTGATGCTTGTCAGGAGTAGCATATTAGGCTATAATCCCATAATCAGTTTCGATTCTGATTGAATCATTCAATTGTGCTCTGATTTGATTTCAGAGTTACAAATTTACAAAGAGCCTTTGAGTCATCATCTCCCACAGGTTTATTAGGCCTAGCCCTATATGTTTTGGGTTTCCTATTCTTACAGTGCAACTTAGGCCTATGCCACTTTGGTTTTGCGTTTTCTTGAATAAAGGCTAGGCTAAATCAAAAATCTGGTCCTTTATCGCTCTAAAACCTCGTCACTCATGAGACAAAATCACCAACATCAAAGACGACAAATTGATTGACAGGTCTCTCTTACCCGGCCCAAACAGTTGTGTCAAGAAAACACGCCAGTTATTTAAAAAAAACTGCCCAAATTTTCTTTGGACAATACGTTTTTTCCGGTCAAATCCGAACAAAAGAAGCCCAATTGGGCGGAAACCAGTCCAATCTGGCAACACTGGCAACAGTGCTGCATTATGACGCAATCATCTCCATGACAACAGAGCTGATAAGATGGTCCAGCACTCCCTCATCTTTCTCTAGAGAAGCTCGTGTGTAGTCTTAGCTGAGTCATTCTCTGAGCCTTTTGTGTCCCCAATAAAGATAACGATCTTACTGCCTTAAAATATTGAACAATAGCAATTTGAAAGCTGTCTTAATCACATAACACCATTTGAACTCATCAATCATATTGAAGAGGATTAAAGCCACCATTTTTTCCCATATGTCCCTTGTATCCCAATTTCATGATAAATACAACACTTATAGGATACTTTCCCCCCAAAAAAGTAACACGTATATATATATTATATATATTTTAATATTATAATTAATTAGGAAGGTTTTTAGCTTGTCCCTGTTATTTTTGCATCCTGGGAGTCACTGATGAGTTTTGTATGATTCACCCAGAATGCATTGCAGCATGAAGCATGTCACCGTTATTGAGATTCATGCGCTGATTCTTGAGATTTGTGTTTGTATAAGGTGTTTGTATATTGTATTGTTTAATTAAATACTAAAAATTAATATTTATCATGCTGTAAAAATCCTGATTATTATGATACTTTAAAATTGATTCCAGAGACCCTGGATGAAATCAGGCCGTTACAATATGGTAATATTATTTATCATCAACATTGATCATATTTTCTTTTGCTATAACAAACACAGAGTGAAACAACATCAAATAGTCAAGGCCAAAGAGCTCAACTAAATCAAACAGGAGTCTAAAATGATTTGGGCCGCGCAGATTGAACTAGTAGATCTCTATAACTGTGCAGTAAACAGGAAAGCAGTCTCCATCTGTACTGACCCGTGTCATCCTCTGTACCACTCTCTTTTCAGTTACTGCCATCAGGTTGCAACTTTAGAGCTCCTTTAGCCAAAAAGAAAGCTTACAGAAACTCTTTTATTCCAACTGCAATTTCTATTTTAAATAAGACCAAATAGTTTTAATAGCAGGCTATATTGTATTTAAGTCTTTGTAACAGGGTATCTGCGGGGTCTTGAAAAGTATTAAAAGGTGATAAATCAATTTTGGGAAAATTAAGACCCTTAAAAAGTAGGCTATTAAAAAGTCTTATCACGGCTTTATAAAGTCTTAAATTTTGAAAGTATTTTTTCTAGGGATGCCGGAATATTCGGCCGCCGAAAATAGCCCAAAAGTGCATTTTCGGTTTTCGGCCGAAAGACTTTTATCACCGAAACAATACGGCCGAAATGTTGTGATGACGCAAACAGAAACCGCGACCTGCACGTGCTTGTCTGAAGCATAAGGTGTGTTCGACATCGGCTGCGGCTGGATGTAACTGATCGGCGAGAGTAGCCGCGTGCAGGCGGGGAGGAGCTGCAAACGGAGACGTGAAGTCGGACACTTTCTGGTTCCCGTAGTGACCGCTCGTGGTGTTTGTATACTTTACCACAGCTGAAGTGAAATAAATTCAATATTTGCCAAATGCACAGATGTTTCAGACACATTTTCATTCAATACTTTATGTACTGCTTCATACTGCATCTGTTTGAACAAGAATAAAGTTCAAAATAGTAGAGTTGTGACGTTCGCGAACGAACCGATTCTTTTGAACGGCTCATAAACATGAACGATGGGAGCCGAGTCGCGGCTGAAGGGGAGCCGTTCTTTCTGTCGTTCTTTTTTCATGCGTGTTTCACACAGATGCACACAAATTAGCTCCTCAGTTATAGGGGAAGGGGCGCACCCAGCGCTACTGCCTAACAGCATGATGATAGTTGTGCACGCGCGCGCATCCTTTACGTGAGTACTCCAGTGGGAAAAAACCCTACGTGCTGTCATTGGGTAGGAGCAGAGCCAATGACTTATGCCGTCACATGGTTACTCCAGTTAAAAAAAAAAAAAAAAAACACTAAAGTAACACTAAGTTCCTTTGTAAATAAATACAAAGGAACTGCTTTGTATTTATTTACATTACATTTTGTGTTCATGTTATTGTATCTACAGTATATATTTACAACTTTAAATAGTTTTTGTTTTTTATCAAAATGTTCTTGTGGTATTGTATGAATAACATAAGTCAACATAGCTTTACACATACACATACTTTGTACTAAAGGTAAATCCAAAATAGTGATATCACTTTCTAAGCAGAGGGATGTTGTGCAACCCTATGGAATATAGTCCACACATGACAAATGAGGTAATAATCAATATTTCAGAATAATTCAAACTCAGATATTGGTGTGTGATATCTGAGTTTTAATTAATTGACTACAAATCTCACCTCATCATTCCTCCCAGTGATTATTTCCAGGATAAACTGAGATTCCCCCAAGCTGGCTTCTTTAAACTGACTAAATATTTAAAAAGAGCCAAAAGAGCCGTTCTTTTGAACGGCTCTTTGAAAGGAACGGATCGCAAAGATCCGGATCTCCTCAAAGAGCCATAAATCCCATCTCTACAAAATAGCCACTATCAATGAAGTGCAGTCGACGTTTTTTAATCACTTTTATTTTGATAAACATAACACAATATAGCCTAACATCACGACTACATGAAAAGAGTGTTTACTGTTATAAAAAACTGATTTGTGTGAACTAAAGGTGTGAGAATAAACACGAAACGCACGTGATCGTTGTCATGCGGTGAATCCGGCCAATCGTGGAACAGCTGTGTCGTCATCAGAGCTCGTGCAGCCCAGAGCAGCCGCTCTTCAGAAGCTGCGCTGGCTGAGTTCTCCGGCTACTCTCGAATCGCTCTCGCGGTACTTTGATGGCATACGTCACAGTCACGTGGCGTCGGCGCTGTATCAAGTCGGACAAAATTTCTAACCGGCATGCACTGCTTCAAGTCTGCCGCCGATCGGTCTGCGCAGAGCTGCATGAAGTCGAACAAGCCTATAGACTGTAAAAAAAGATGGACGACGCCAATTCGCTCTTTTCCATTGGAGAGAGCGTCCCGATATGGCGCTGACATATTGGAACTTGAGTCTGCGCAGTAGCGTTTTCGGGACCAGTCATGCGCAGTCGTGAGCAGGAAGTAAAGCCGCGAAATCAAGGCCCCGCCCCCACTCTCGCTGAATCAATCGAAAGCACACGCCCTGCACTTTTCTTAAGTGGCCTTGTCTGCTCCGTTCCTCTCCAATGATGTCTGCTGATTGCAGTACCTTGTTAAAATAAGGTAAATACAACTACTAACCACATAGTCAACATTATGAAAAAAAGTCCGTTGGTACTTCAGTGACTACTTCGCACAGAGAAGCTGTCAATCACAGCTGTCAATCATGATGTCACAGCACCGTTTTTATAGCATCAAATAACTAACTAAAAACTAACTTATTTTAAAAACAAACACTTGAAATTACATCAACGTGATAGAAACTACACTAAATGACAGAAACTATCTTTAGAAAAAAGATATGTGAAGTGTAATTTAATTATTTAGTTGGTCTCACGTCCCGTTGAATAACATGGGGAGGCGGGGCTTATGACCTATACTAGGACCGGCCTCTGGGGGGCGATCGAGACGTTTTGGCTTCACTTTTGAAGGCTTGTGCGGCACGCTTGGTCTGAAGCAACATGTCTGCGGTGTGGACGTAGTTCAGTATGAACCCGCGAGGAGACGGAAGCCTTGTTTATACTTTCGCCTGCCTCCGCAGCGCCATAGTATGGCGCCGCCGGTGTGTGTACACTCATAGAGAATAATGTGTTCGAATTTTAAAGACCTGGCGCTGCGCGACGCGGCGCTGCGCTGCGCTTCTCGTCCGGTGTGCGATAGTGATGGCCGGTTCGTGAACGAATCGTTCTTTTGAACCGGTTCTTTTTAGTGAACCGGTCGAACCAGTACACTAAATCGGACTGAATCGTTCGAAACAGTTCGCGTCTTGCGTTAGTGCTGATCAGGGGCGGATCTAGGAAAATATTTATGGGGTGGCAAGAGGGGGGCAGGAATTTTTGAGGGGTGGCAACATGGCAGACGTATATATACTGAATTTAATCACAGTTAACACAGTTTGATGAGAAATCGTATGTGTAACACACTACAAAAGGGCATTATTTGTATCTGTTTTGTGTGTGTGGGGGGGGGGTTGGGGGTTGAACTATACTAAAAGTTGAACTATACTCAGTTGAACTATACTCCACAGTGATGAATCCTAAAACAAGCTATAAGCTGCATACCGGTTTTTCCCATGGAAATCTGTGGTGAGTGCAGAGTGCACCTCTGTCCCTCTAGGGGGGTTCGGGGGCATGCTCCCCCGTAAGAAAATTTTGTGCTTTTTAATGTTAAATTCATCAATCTGGTGCACTTTGAGAGTTCAAAATAAAGAGCTCCAACCCATATTCAGTGTGCAAATTGAACAAAAAAAAAACTCAAAACTCTTTTTAGTTGTGATATAGTGTCTGTCTACATTACACTACTATATAATAATAGTTATAATATTAAATAAAATACCCTGTGAACATTCACACGTTTGCTTTATCATAGGCTAAAATTTATCTTCATAAATATTAAATAATATTTTCTTAATTCTGCGCATGTATTTTTACTTACTTACATCAATTGCTCGATCAATATTATTATCACATATTTTACATTTATATTTTTAACTGTACACAAACAACTTAATATAGCTAAGTTTGTGTATATTTTACACGTAGTAAAATACTGTAGGCTACTGCTTATAAACACCAGACAGATAATGATATATGAAAAAGATGTTCTTTACTCATCTCACTTGCACAAAATAAATGCAGTAATATAAAGCATAGAAACGCACAGGTGAAATACACTGAAAATGATATATGCATTTAAAAATTTGGTCGGGTTGAAAACTTATCTCTCTGGTAATGGAACTCGGTCGCTGTTGTCTCTTGCTCTCGCTGTCTCCCGCTCTCGCGGTCAGATCACCGGAAGTATTTGCCCACACAATAAAGTACGAACGTCAACGGTCGTCATATTATGCACGGAGCGAATTCACTGCAGTCGGACATTGGAGATTCGCGTTCGTAAATTGTCAAATTGGCCATAACTTTTAATTCGTTGCCGCCAACTGGGGTGGCAGCAGGGGTGGCAAGGCTTTCTTTTAGGGTGGCATTTGCCACCCTATGCCACCCCGGTAGATCCGCCCCTGGTGCTGATACACAAGTTACTAAAGTTACTCACTTTCAGACATGCCTGACAGTCCCTCTGACTCGAAATAAACCAATATCCCGGAGTATATTTCACTCCAGTAAATCCAACAGTTTGAAACGTGCTGTTTTTGAGAGTGATGAGCACGAGCTGATACTGCGCATGCGCGTACTACCGAACGCACATGTACAGCGGTTATCGGATCACCAGTACAGAACCGAGAACTGTTTCTTTCGGACACGTTCGACATAATGAGAACAACTGATCGATGAGCTGAGCACGCGTGCAATTTTTTTCTGAGGGACGAAATGTACGTTTCTTAAGTATTTATTTAGTTGAACATCAGTAAGTGTAATAAAATAAAACATGTTGGAAACATGTTTATCACATAATTACTGTATTATCACTGTATTATTTTAAAGTTTGGAAACACAATGAATGGATTGTAAAACTGTCAAACTAAACATTTATTAAAATAATATTTTCAGGAACTGCTCATTTAATTTCTAAGTAAGTTGATATAAATATTTGATGTAAACTCTTGCCAAAGTTTTAATGGTGCACACTGCACAGTACTGCTTAGTAAATGTTTATAATGTGTTAAAACATAACGTATTAAACATATTGGAGAAGAAAGACATGCATCGATTTTTTTAGTTTTGTCGACTGTATATTCAGCAGTTCTGCAGTTCTCAGCTCAGCACACAGCCTATGCTACGGTTCTGGAGTCAAGAACTGGTTGTTGCAGTTCTTGAATCACCAGTACAGAACCGAGAACTGTTTCTTTCGGACACGTTCGATACGGAGAACCGATGAGCTGGAGATACTGAGCATGCGTGATAGCACCGTCTCTAAACAGAACTTTCTTTCGGCCAACTGATGATGTGCTGATACATGAGCACGCAGCACGGGTGAACCGAGGACTTAAATGAGGGGCCGAATTCGGCGAAATGTAAGTTTATTACAAATAAAATGATGAAGACCACTTATGCACTTTATATATTTAAGACATGTTAAACATCCGCGTTTGCACATCGCCTGTAGGCTACAGGGTTCGTTTGCAAAATGTAAATGTAAGAAACTTATCCAAGAGGATTATTACGATGAGTACTATTATTTAAGTGAAGTTATGATTACAAATGCCTTTAATTTAAAGTATTTTTATCCGCCGGGATGATATAATTGACGTCATTACGCGAGGACGTAAAAGAACTGGTGAACCGGTTTTTTGAACCGGTTCATTGAAACGAACTGTCCGAAAGAACCGGTTCGCGGAAAAGAACCGAACTTCCCATCACTAGTGTGCGACCCCCTTTAAATTAACATTCAAGAGTTAATGAGCTAATTAAGTGATTGATTGAGTGATGATTGACCATTATTGTAGACACTTTTTACTTTATAGGTAAACTATAATTACTGAAAGTTACGCTGTAAATGTGTTTCACTTACACAGTTTCCGGGCTGTATATTCAAGCGTTACCTAAAACACACATAATATGATTGTTTTGTGATATAGCCTGTGTATGTGTGCTTTATTCCAGGGTGACGTACAGGGAAGAGATGCTGATGCCTCTCTAACGGCCTTTGTTGTGATTGCGATGCAAGAGGGCAGAGAGATCTGTGCTGGATCAGTTGCTGTAAGTGAATTTGTTTCACCATCAGTGGCCGCTCGTGGATTTCTAAAATAGAGGAAGCACAGTAATTGTGGCTGTCTTGGGATCCTCTCCCAAAAGATTTTTGAAATATTATTAACTGCTTTAAAATGTATTTATGAATCACTTTTAGACATAAAATGTAAAAAACAAAAATGAAATTTGCAGCAAGGAAATATAAATATAATTTCACTCACCTTGCCTATCACCTGAAGAAAAAAATCCATCCTTCTGTTCTTTTTTAATGTCCGTGTTAGGGGTTTTATTAAAGCTGATTGTCTGTAGTTAACTTAGGCGTGGGGTCTTCATTAATAATTTGCAGCTTCTGCTAGAATGGTATCTTGTTAAATTAGTTGGTGATCAAATATTCAATATTTCTTCTCTCCATAATTAAGGAAGTTAATTGCTAAGTTAGATTAGCAGCGTGAGTATGGAAGCATGGGTAGCAATATTCAATTTGAAATGTAATATGTAAAATAGCAATGCATTTCTGTATTTACATTTACATTTTCCATTACATTTGTGCAACGCTTGGTGCAAAATGAAAATGATAATTCAATTCTATAATTTACATTTGACATTTCATACACTAGTTTTAATATTATGTAAATTGAATACATATTTTAACACTTTATAAGTTGCAAAATAAAAATAAAAATGCATAACAGAAATGATTAGATATGTTCAAGCAAAAACGGTAGCAAAATGATCATTTAAATGTTATTTTTCTTAATTGCATTTACACTCACAGTTAAGACACTTGCGACTGCACATCTGAGGTCACTCAGCCCCCCACATGCTCCAAATTCACACAAAATAGTCTTGTTTGTTTGTGCCGTTTGTGCGCTACTTCGTTTTTTAAAATATTAGACACTGAATTATAGACGATGACGTGACACCAGCCCTCCGACCTGCTCCACATTCACCCCAAAAAAAGGGGTTTGACCTGAGAATTTGACCTGTCAGATTCCGTGACCCTACTGTACAGATTTATCAAAATCGGATCACTATGCTTAATAAAATAGAAATGGGAGATGGTTATACATCACATGAGTCACTTTATTGAACATTACAGTCAGTTACGAAGAAATAAAGAGCGGTCACAATTTCCGGTAGCTATGAATTTGGCCCGTCATATTCTGTGATCTCAGAGTAATAGGCTTATGCATTTGTAAGGAAAAACTCTATGATCTCCAACATTATTGGGTAATTATATTTAATAGTAATAAGAATAAAGATAAGCATATGTGTATCAGACAATGAGAATATTTTACACAAAACAAAACCATCATTAACACAGTCCAGCATCAGACAACAACAGTTCAGCATCATGTTGACACCAAACGGGTGTTTGTGTGTGGTAATGCTGTTTGTGGAGTTGTTTAATCCTCCTCTGCTGAGATCTTCAGATTTAATGTCTTCTTTTCTCTTCAGGTGATTTCATCTAAGGCTGTGTCTGAAGTCAGTTGTAGTTCTTGTGTTTCTGCTTGTCTCTTTTTCTGTTCTCTTCTTTCCTTCTGTGATTCTGCTTGTTAACAGGCTTATTATGGCTGAATTTACTTCGTATTTAATATACACAGATTTTGTGGCTCGGATAAGGTCCAGTTCTGGTTAATTTCTTTGCTCTTGGCTGGCATGTGGCATTGCTATGGCCTGCTTGTGGCCCAGATCTGGCAAACAGGAGTGAGTCACCCAAGGGCCGTCATTCCACCCTGCATGTGGGCCTGATCATCTTTCCATGTGTGCCAGATGTGGGCCGGATCTGGGCCGAAACAATGTTGCTATCTGGGATTTAACCTCTTACACACACTTTTATAGAGTCTGCATGAAAGTATCAGGAAGGCTGTTGTATTCTTAGAAGGTCGACTTCCACAACTGACCAATCCTTACGCTGTTGCGATGACGTCCTACGCCATGGCCAATGCTGAAAAACTCAATAAAGATATCTTGATGAGGCATTCCACCCAAGGAGAAGGTCAGTAACAAGTCATCAAATAGTGTTTTGCTTTATACAATATGGAATAATTCTAATCTAAACCCAGTGTAAATAATGAAAAAATTATCAAATTTTGAACTGTAATTATCGCTGCTGGTTTGTGTCAAGAACAGTAATGGAACACAGTCCTGTTTCTATTCCTGCTTTGTGTTTGAATCAGCCGGTAGGTTTTGGACTGTCGCTGGACAGAGTCATCACTCTCTAGAGGCGACGGCCTATGCTGTGCTGGCACTTGTGAAGGCCAAAGACTTTGATAAAGCAGGAGAAGCAGTTTACTGGCTGCGTTCACAACAGTCTCATTATGGTGGATCTGGCACCACACAGGTACACTAACATCTCATCATCTGACTGTGATTAACAGATGCAGAACTTGTCTTTGAATGCTGTTCTGTGCTTTCCAGGCGACCATCATGGTGTTCCAGGCCGTGGCAGAGTATCGCACGCAGGTGAAGGACCGACAAAACTTCAATCTGAACGTGGAGCTGTTAGTGACAGGAAGAAGCAAACCTGTCAGATTTACTATTAAAAGAGACAATGTGCATCTTATATGGTCATACAAGGTGAGGAGAAACTCATCAACCTGATTCAAAATGTGTGCTGCTCATGTCAATTGAATGATTTTGTATAATATTAAGTGAGGAATTTGGGGAGTTTTGTTATTCGTCATCCATATTTAGTTTTCTTCATCAATAGTGTGGTGTTTGGTCAGTGAGACATTCAGGTATCTCTACTATCATGGATTTGATTGTTCTGATAATATCTGCGTTCACTCCACAGGTGGACATCAACAAGGACTTCAATGTGACGGCTAGAGGAACTGGAACGGCCACTCTCTCAGTGAGTGTTCATGAGCGTTTATACAGTCGACAGCAAGATTAAAGCGTCTGAACATCTAATCTGAGATGTGCTGCTCGTTTCAGGTTCTGACGCTGTACTACGCCAGACCTGTTGAGAAGAAGTCTGACTGTACACACTTTAATCTGACTGTTAAAATGGAAAAAGCCCCTGAAAGTAAGATTGACAAAGATGCCTTTCTCTAGCACTTTCTATACATTAAGGCTTTTCACACTGTGCTTAACCCTGGGTTATCGTCACTCTAACCCTGTTTAGGAACATTTGACTCTTTTGACTACAACTACAATGACATAGAAGTGTGGTTAGCACTGCTTTTTACTCGGGTCATGAAATGTTAAACATGATAACACAGTATTATGTGGGCTAGACTGACCCTGGGTAGTTCAATTGTGAAAACCCCCATTTTGAGCTGAAAACTCTCCAAATACCTTTATGTATGACATGTTCATTTGAATGAATTTTATTTTTATATTCCCTTTAGAAAGGGAAGACTTGACTTGAACTAAAACCCCCTTTGTTTCCCTTTAGCAAAACAAGGAGCCATTGAACGTTACAACTTCATTATGGATTTCTTGTATGTGAATAAATACCTCATTTATTTTTATGTCAAGAAACCATTTTATTTGTAATCAATCAGCATGTGCTCATTTAGGCTGTTTTGACATTTGGTTTGTTTGCTGTGTTTTTTTATAAGACAGTTTATTCAGAGACGAGCAGCTCTACGTTATACTAGAATATATTAATTCTCACATCAAACGGACTCAGGTTCGCACGAAAAGCTCTAGTGTGAAAGCAGCCTTAAACACAGAATCAGCTGATGGAGGAAAACTGAAGACCTATGAAACCTGTTAATAAAATCTGCTTTATCTCCATCTTTACAGCTACAAAAATGATAAAACCGATGCCACTATGACTATTCTGGACATTGGCATTCCGACGGGATTTGATGTTGATGAAAATGATCTTAAAGAGGTATTGTGATGATATTGTTTATGATTGGCCATAAAACATGTATTTAGTTTTTTTTCTCATTTTCTTGCCCTCAGTTGTCCACGGGGAAGGAGAGATACATTCAGAAATATGAAAAGAATAAAGTGCTGTCAGAGCGAGGATCCCTCATCCTCTACTTAGATAAGGTATTTCAGCAGACCTGATGATGTCAAAAACAGATTTGTTTTCTTTTTATCATGAAACCATGTGTTTTGCTTATCACAGTATTGTTGAAATCCTGATTCTGATTCCAAAATGTTCATTAACTGTAAGGCCATGTGGTTCCACGTAACTTCGGTACATTACAGACTGCTTATCAGAATCATATTTCACATGATACTTTAAGCATAAGTGAATGTGCAAATTTAATATATAGGTCTAGCCTATGACTATAAAAGGTTTACATGTGTTCTATCAGCTGTGCAAAACAGAATACTGTTATAATACAGAATATTACAGCTATACATTGTTAAATTAATGCAAGAAAAAAACACCAATCGCAATTCTTATGCAAAATAATGATTTTGTTGACAAAAAATTGGTTTAAATTAAATTTTTACATATTAGTATTATTTGTTTCTTGTGCAAATGTTAACATGGGAAGTTTCCAGTGTACATTATGATATTTAATATAATGTAAATTTGCTTTGATTTGTTGTTTTTGTTCTCATTAGGTTTCTCATAAACCGACAGAAAGAATCGCCTTCAGAATGAACAAGATGTTTAATGTGGGTCTGCTTCAACCTGCCCCAGTCACAATATATGAATATTACTCACCAGGTACGTTTTTGGTGCACGTACATAAACACATACACACACTTCTGATGAATTAACCTGGAGCACTCAAATTACAGGGTCATTATTAATGGCACTAATTAACCATGACAATAATCATCTGTTCTCAGAGTGCTAGAAGGATGTTGCAGTCATCTGTTGTTAAACTTGTTTCAGATGCTCGCTGTACAAAGTTCTACCACCCTGAGAGGACAGATGGCGCTATATACACACTGAGTGAGGGAAAATTCAGCCAGTGTGCAGAAGGTATTGTGCTTTTACTTTATATGTTTATACTTTGACCAGACACTTTTATCTAAAGCAACTTCTAAATGAGAAACACCAAAAGCAAATCACCATAAGAGCCAAAAAATCTTCAGTGTGTCTTTCTCGCATCAAATGTAAAGGTGGGGGGTATTTACTTTTTATGAATGGGGGAACAACTTTATGTTGGGTCTGTTATGAATGTTGATTTTTTTTTTTTGAATGTTGATTTTCTGATATCTATACTTGAACACACACATCTCATAACACAGAAAACTGCAGTGTCCAGAAGAAGGATCAGGCAGAGGAGCGTTTGGATAGAGCCTGTGAATCTGGCACAGATTATGGTAAACGCATGTTCTCCATCCTCAGCCATTGAGTCCCGCTTCATCCAGTCTCACAGCTGATGCTGATAACCATATAACATGTATCATTGACAGTTTATAAAGTCACAGTATTGGATATGGATCTGGTACAGGACTCTGCCATCTATGACATGAAGGTGGAACGGGTGCTGAGAGAAGGTATGGGTAATTATTCCTGTCTGTCCATCAAAGTATATTAAAATGCATGTTTTTAGAGCATGTTGACGTTTGGACATCCTGTTAGAACTGTGTTCTGTCCTTTAGGCACTGATGATAAGAAAGTTGAGGGGAAAGTGAGACCATTTTTGGCTCGTCTTATTTGCAGTCAGCTTTTAGATTTGAAACAAGGCAAGTCGTACCTCATCATGGGCAAATCCAGTGACCTGTCACAGCGAGGAGGAAGGTAGGTGTTTGTACTTCCTACAGGATTCTGCTTTTGCACAGGAGGACACTCAACCAGGTAGATTTAGGATGCACATACAGTATGAGGAAAAACTGATTGCATTCACATAGAACTGCTGTATGAGTCATTTGTTAGACAGAGGAATACTGAATCACAATTGGGTAAAATAAACATGACACTAACATGAACTTCTTGCTGTGTGTTTAATGTCCATTAATGGTTGTTTATACCATGTTTTGCATGTTTTCTGTTGTTTTTAGTCTGAAGTACATCTTTGGAGAGCACACCTGGGTTGAATACTGGCCGACAAGAGAGGAAAGCCAAACTCGAGAATACAGGGATCAGTACATCGGCATCTCTGCGCTCCAGGATAGCCTCCTCAGGATAGGATGTGATACATAGTATAAATATTCTTGATTAAAGGAAATGTAACATTATCTCGTGCATGCTCTTAATAATCATGGTGCATGATATACAGTGCTTTACAAAAGTATTCAACTTTCATAATTCTTATTTCAAGATCTTGTTTAAAAAATTCTAACTTACCAAGATAACAGTCGCCTCAAAAAAATTTTGTTTAAATTCTATAACGCTGTCAGGAGTCGGAGTCTGTCGGATTTAAATTCATCCACTTCTCCCAAAAACGTTACAGTGGCTGGAAAGATATATACAAATAAATTTACTCTATTTACCTACACAGGGCTCCAGACTAACTTTTTTTACTAGGAGCGCTGTTGCCCCTGACTGAAAATTTTAGGAGCACATGCAGAAAATTTAGGGGCACACCTTAAATCAGCTTGCAATGCAATTATTCAAATTTCCCCCAAAATAACTGTAATACTGACAAATTATTTAATAATAAAGAGACTTAACGTACAGATATTACGATATGCAGTTTTATTTTAAGTTCACAGGGCTACAGACTCAAATTTGAGGACAGCATCACCTCAAATGAGAACTCACACTGAGTTCTACAAAAAGAAGAAGTAAAAATTCTGCAGCACTGGGGCTGACAATAAATCACTAAGCTTAATTTAGGGTGTAGATGAAATTAACTTTTGTTATTATTATCATTCATAATGTCTTAATATTAATTAAAAAACAAAAGGAGTGAAAAAGTGTATATTAAGGAGTGAACATAGCCAATAAACATCCTACTGTTTACAATGTTTTGTTTTTTTAAATAAGTGTTTAAATAAGAGTTATCTAACATCTTAATTTTTTTAGTTTTAGGATAATCTTTGAAGGATGAACAAAAAATGTGTTGGGTCATCTCATAATTTTTTTTTTTTAAAGCATTTATATATGATATTATAGTTTTGAAGTGCTAGAAAAGATGTGTAGGCTGCGTTTGACTATTTGTGTCACATTATCATATTTATGGTTAGAGTTACTTACTCCATTAGCCAAAATCCATGGTGAATGTTGCTGATTTGTGGGCTGAAAGCCTTCTATAGGTTTTTCTCTTGGTTTCCATGTCAGCAATGTTTGATCTGATATCTATGGTTTATAACAGAACTCTGCGCCGATTCGGAATGTTTCTCACTGGATCTCGTAGCGATGATGTTATTAATTCTGAGGCGAATTCAATGGATTTCTTCACTGGATCTCCTAGTTACAGTGTCGTGTGAGCGAGATCGGCCCGACTGGATCGGGTCTTTATTTTACTGTCAATGGTTCGGGGCGCTGCTCCATTGATATACATAAGAAAGGCTATGCGCTGCTCTGTCTATTATTGGTCCGGAATAATTAACGGTCCGTGAAGCATAAATGAGTAGCTTATTTTCGTTCCACTTTAATTTTGTTTGCATTCGCTGCTTGGTAACGAGTCGATAGATCGCTCATTCATTGCTCAGACGCACATAGCAGCTTGTGATATTTGTCTCCGTCCCCTTCCCACAGACACGCGCGCTCTCTATTCTTGTCACACTCACTCATTCCGGATTCATCGACGCGCCCCTTCCACGCTTCACCATGCGTTTAACGTGAGGCAAATTTGCTGGTCGCACATGTGCGACTGGATGTAAAATTCAGTCGCACACTCTCAAATTTTAGTCGCAAAATGCGACCATTTGGTCGCAGTCTGGAGCCCTGCTACACAATGCGTGTTTGATATGAATAAAAACATGACGTCAAATTATGATTGAAATGTTATCCGGTTATCGGTGCTTCCATAAGCATATATGCCTATGTTTTTTCCTAGTAGGCTATTTATGTGAATTTAAATCTGAAGCTACAACAACAAAAATGTGGTTGAAAACACTGGACAGTTAAAGCAACACCAAGGAACTTTTCCTTCAGCGGTCGCCCTACAGGTTGGAAGCGGAATTGTCCATTACCGCTGTCGTAAATAATTTAGCCTAGCGCAGCCTACGGTCGCACGCGCACGCTCGCTGTTTATCCAGCACCGGCTTTGGAATCAACAATGGCAGACATCCCAACTTACAAGAAGTCATTTCAGGGAGGTATATCTTGGTGACTGGATTGTTGACGGGGAGTTGGCGGGTTGACTAGCTTTCGTGAGGCACACTCGCAAGGTCTCTCGCTCTCTCCCTCTCTGCCGTCCTCGCGCTATGTATGTATGCGCGCAGTATGTTCTGTCTCGCATGCGCGCTCTAGATTCCGGCAGATTTGAACTAATTTTCGGGCATCAGGGAGACGCTATAGACTTGGGATGTCTGCAATGGCCATAGACAATTTGAGGAAGTGGTGGGGGAAGTGACGTATGCCGTAAAGCAGTCGAGTTTTGTAGTTCTTTTTGTGCACGGGTTCCTACCCGAAACCCAAAGTTACACAGTGCGAGTAAAAGCGATACAGACCGCGTCAGGCTATGGCAGATGTGTCATTTAACCTATTGTAAGTCGATGTACCATCACAAGGGTCTTGGAAATATATTATGAAGGTTGAAAAGTTACATAGTGTTGCTTTAAGCCCAATTTATACTTCTGTGTCGAGTGCGCGCCGTAAGAACGGTGTAGCATAGGCATCAGCGTGTACCATACGCCGTACCCTTCGACCGTACCCTGACGCGCACCTCCTCAAAAATGTAACTACACGTTGTGACGATGTGGACCACAAGATCTGTGATTGGTCAGCTTGGTAGCAACGCATTTCTTCCTACGCATTTCCGGCGTGTTCTTCTGCGCCACCCGCCATTTTTAAATTCAGAAGTTCGGTGAAGAACATGTCTGTCAAACCAGAAAACCAGATTTGAAGTTAACGTCATTCACTGAACGTTCAAATCACACTAGTGTGATCATAAGTCTTAAAGAGTTAGGTGTATTTTACTGCACAGTGCACAGTGGTAGCAGCACAAAAACTTGGTTCCTACCCTTTCATGCTCATGGTTGTGCGATCAAGATTAACCCATTCAAAAGAGTCAGATGACTCGCCATTTAGACCAGTAAGCTTTTACCTGTGATTACTCTGTTCTCTCACTTGAATATTCAGCGTAGTCACATCACTCACACGAGATCTGGTTTTGAAATGGTTATTTCTCATAAACCATATTCCTCAACATATAAAAATGTAATAACTTCTGCAGTAATTTCAGAAAAAAATTTGGAAAATGAAAAACACGTTTAACCTTGGAATAAAAATTGACTGTTTTCAGGGGAGAGGGGAGAATCAGATATCTTGAAGAGACACCAGCCAAAGAGGAAAACAGGATTCTTGTGTGAAGTGTTCAATGACTGCAATGAAATTAAGACCATTTTACCAATCACACTGATACATTTAAAATGATACCAAACATAAAAGGGAAACAACAATAGATTCAAAAGATACATATGTAGTATGTAGATGATCTTAGTGAACTTTTAGTGAATTGAATCAGGGGGAAAGAAAGGGAGGAGGGAGAGGAGGATGTAGAGATAAGGAAGGAGAAACGTTTGGACAAGACAATGTCCTGTGCTCTTTCTTTGAGATCTTCTTTCCGGGGTGTGTTTTATTGCTTAAGTGCAGGGTGAGTTTTATCTCAGCTTTTGTCTTAGCAGTCTTACAGTTCAATGGGCTGAAGAAGCAGAATGACCTGCGTCTTAGGAGCTCCTCAAATACTGTGATTTATTAATGCAAGATCTGTTTGTTTAATTAACTTTGGTCTTTTACTCACACATATTTATTTTTATTGGGATTGTTCTATCATTAAATCTTTATAAAGCATTCAGTCAAGCTTGTTTAAAATGCATAAGCTCAGGAGGAGAGATAATAAACGAACAAAGACGTCAATCGATTCACTTTCTGAAGATCAATCGCATAGGCAGAAACACATCGGGTGCTTCTCATTTCTTATTTGTGCATCCTCGCTTCCTTTCCCCCCGTCTCAGCTCCACCCCTGTAGGATGCGAGGGAAGACTGCAAGGAAAGAAAATGAGAATGGAGGAAACGAATGAAAGCTTTTTTATACATTGGAATACTTGATCACTGGAGCGTCACTTCACTGCGTCATCAGCAGCGCTCAACGGATCTGCCCTTATGTTGTTAAAGTTTGGTTATTTAAGAAATTCATAATAAATAATAATAAAGCAAGATACAAAGTTGACATATGTGAGATGTGTGGTTTATATAAACTGCAAAGGTAAAGTATAAATTTAAATGCTTGTGGCCGATGTGAAGGGGGAGGAGAATTTATACATGCATCACGTTTAGTCAATAAAGCTCTTCCGCACAGGAAGCACCCACGTCTCCACGATCATGACTCCTCTGCAAGCTCCTCGATCATGACTCCTCTGGAAGCTCCTCGATCATGACTCCCCTGGAAGCTCCTCGCTCATGACTCCCCTGGAAGCTCCTCGCTCATGACTCCCCTGGAAGCTCCTCGATCATGACTCCTCTGGAAGCTCCTCGCTCATGACTCCTCTGGAAGCTCCTCGCTCATGACTCCTCTGGAAGCTCCTCACTCCTCGCTCATGACTCCTCTGAAAGCTCCTCGATCATGACTCCTCTGGAAACTCCTCGATCATGACTCCTCTTTAAGCTCCTCGATCATGACTCCCCTGGAAGCTCCTCGATCATGACTCCCCTGGAAGCTCCTCGATCATGACTCCTCTGGAAGCTCCTCGATCATGTCTCCCCTCGAAGCTCCTCGATCATGACTCCTCTGAAAGCTCCTCGCTCATGACTCCTCTGGAAGCTCCTCGCTCATGACTCCTCTGGAAGCTCCTCGATCATGACTCCTCTGGAAGCTCCTCGATCATGACTCCTCTGGAAGCTCCTCGCTCATAACTCCTCTGGAAGCTCCTCGCTCATGACTCCTCTGGAAGCTCCTCGATCATGACTCCTCTGGAAGCTCCTCGATCATGACTCCTCTGCAAGCTCCTCGCTCATGACTCCTCTGGAAGCTCCTCACTCCTCGCTCATGACTCCTCTGGAAGCTCCTCGATCATGACTCCCCTGGAAGCTCCTCTGGAAGCTCCTCGATCATGACTCCTCTGGAAGC